ATGGCAAAGAGATGGAGGGAGGGAGTGTGGGAGGCTCCCCCACCCCCCCATCAAGCCCCCGCCACCCCCACATATCCTTTACTTACCGCTTTGGTGCGGGCCCGGGGGGCTGCGGGGCTCTCCGGGCCTCCCCCCGGCCCCAGCGCTTCTGTGCGGGCCCAGGAGACCTGGCTGCGGGGCTCTCCAGGCTTACCCTGGCCCCAGTGCTTCTGTGCGGGCCCGGGGGACTTGGCTGCGGGGCTCTCCGGGCCTCCCCCCCCAGCCCCAGCACATCTGTGCAGGCTCGGGGGACCCGGTTGCGGGGCTCTCCGGGCCTGCCCCCGGCCCCAGTGCTTTGGCGTAGGGAGCTGGGGGCGGGGCTTGCCGCGCCACCATTTGTGCTGGGTTCTGGGCTGCCAGAGCAGTGCTCCGGCACGCTCCAGCCCCAAAAGATCCCTGGGGATACATGTGGTTTCTCTTACCCTGGATGGGAGCCTTAGTGTAAATCAGAGTATATTTTTTATAAGATACTTTTATTGTTTTCAGTAAATAAAGAAAAATACACTACAAGAGAAAAACACACAACAAGCAACCAAAGAACAAAGATGGAGCTTACACTCTTATACCTATTTAACTTTACCTCTACAAGATAAAGACAAGTATATTTTGAATGCACCTTTCAATAGCTTTTTTTTTGTTAACAGCATTTACACCTGAAATCAGGTTTTTATTTGGCTAGACTGGTGTTTCTCTCTGCATTTCCCCCCCTGTGAATCTGTTTTTTATCAGCAGTATCTAAAATCCTACTAATTCCTTAAAAATTGGGGATTATTTGGAGCATATCGTTCATTTTTACCTGGGCAATCTGTGTTGAAGGGTTAATCACTGGCACACTTTCAGTTTCTCCTGTGGGAATAAAGAACTTCAGTCAATTAACGGGACTTATTAGGCTTACTATATATAAAATGGAGGCATAGTGACTTGCAATCTACTTTTGATGCAAATCTTCCTTTTCTGTTCTAGAACAATCAGTCCTGCTTCGCAGATGTCACATCTTTTGCACGATCTGCCACAATTTATGAACAAAAGGATTTCTGCAATAACATATATCTTTAGTCCAGGTCTAAAGATATATGTTATTGCAGTTTCTAATTGCAGTTCCTGCAATTGCAGGAAGTTTCTAATGCTTCTAGCAAAGTTGTAGCTGTGGTGATGGGATAATGTGAAAGGGTAGGGAATAATCCGCTCCAGAACTGGCCTTGTGAAGTGTAATTTCAATAAACACAGAGTAACACAGTGATTGAACACACTCCAAATTTTCGCTACACAAGACTAACCACCTTGCCAAACATAATTTCCTGGTTATCCTGAAACCAACAAAGGAAGATCTCATGCTCAGCTCCTGGATGAGGACATAGAGAAGGATGTGAAACCAGGACATAGTAGGACTCGTATCCTGGACTTCAGGAAAGCTGATTTCAAAAAACTCAGAGAAATATTAGGTAGGATCCCATAGCTGGAAATGCTGAGGGGGAAATCTGCACAGGAAGGATGGGTGATGCTGAAAAATGAAGTGCTTAAGGCACAATCACAAACTGCTCCGGTAAGAAAGAAAGGTGGTAGATGGGTAATGAAGCCAAGGTAGCTGAACAAGGAACTCTCTGAAGAGCTGAGACTAAAAAGGGAAATGTACAGGAAATTGAAGGAGGGTCAAATTACTGAGGGGGAGTACAAGAAGCAGGCTCGAATCTGTAGGGATGGTGTCAGAAAGGCTAAAGCACAGATGGAGCTCAGGCTTGTGAGGGATGCTAAAAATAACAAGAAAGGTTTCTATGCCTATGTTCAGAGCAAAAAAGAAGAACAGGGATGGGGTAAGCTCATTGCTAGGGGAAGACGGTTAAGCCTTAACAAGGGATGAAGACAAAGCAGAATTACTCAACTCTCACTTTGTGTCGGTCTTTAACCATAAGGCAAGCTGTATACAAACTGAAGAATGCAGGGCATATGAAGGAAGGAGGAACTGCCGGTCCAGAGTAAGTAAGGAAATGGTTAGAGAGCATCTAGCTGCCTTAAATATTTTCAAATCTCCAGGGCCAGATGGCTTGCATCCCAGGGTGCTAAAAGAAATTGCAGATGTTATTTCAGAGCCTCTGGCTCTAAACCTTGAGATGTCCTGGAGTACTGGTGTGCTGGAAGACTGGAGAAGAGCGAATGTTGTCCCAATCTTCAAGAAGGGGAAAAAGACGGACCCAGGAAATTACAGGTCTGTCAGTTTGACATCAATACCTGGAAAATTTTTAGAGCAGATTATTAAATGCTCGGTCTGTGAGCACCTTAAATGGAATACGTTAATTGGTAATAGCCAGCATGGGTTTATCATGCCAGACCAACCTTATCTCCTTTTTTGACAAGAGTTACTAAAATGGTTGACTCTGGCAATGCTGTGGATATAGTGTATCTAGATTTCAGTAAAGCATTTGACAAATTCTCTCATAATATCCTTGAAGATAAGCTGGTTAAGTGTGGGCTGCATGGTGCAACCGTTGGATGGATTCATGATTGGTCAAAAAATCATACCCAATGAGTGCTCATAAATGGCTCTGCGTCTACGTGGAGGGAAGTCTTGAGTGGAGTGCCACAGGGCTCGGTCCTGGGCCTGGTGTTGTTCAATGTTTTTATAAATGACCTGGAGGAAGACATAGAGGGGATGCTTATCAGATTTGCAGATGACCCGAAGCTGGGTGAGATTGCTAATTCTGAAGAAGACAGAGTCGGGATTCAAAATGATCTAGATAGACTGGAACAGTGGGCTGAGACAAATAAAATGAATTTCAATAGAGATAAGTGCAAAGTCCTACACTTAGGTATAAAAAATCAAAGGCACAGATATAGAATGGGAGGGACTTGGCTTGACAGCAGCACATGTGAAATTGATCTAGGTGTTCTGGTTGATCACAAGCTAAACATGAGCCTGCAGTGCGATGTGACTGCAAAGAAAGCTAATGCAATCTTAGGATGCATTAACAGAAGCATTGTGTCCAGATTACGGGAGATAGTAGTTCCGCTCTATTCTGCTATGGTCAGGCCTCATCTGGAGTACTGTGTCCAGTTTTGGGCACCACATTTTAGGAAGGATGTTGACAAGCTCGAGCGTGTCCAGAAGAGGGCAACCAGGATGGTGAGAGGGTTGGAATCCAAGTCTTATGAGGAAAGGCTGAAAGAGTTGGATATGTTTAGCCTGGGAAAGAAAAGGCTTAGAGGGGACATGATTGCAGTCTTCAAGTATTTGAAGGGCTGTCATGTAGAAGATGGAGCGGATCTATTCTCTCTTGCTCCGGATTGCAAGACTAGATCTAATGGGTAAAAATTACAAGGGAGTCGCTACTGGCTAAATATCAGGAGAAACTTCCTAACTGTAAGAGTGGTTGAGCAGTGGAACACACTGCCTCGGGAGGTGGTGGATGCTCCTTCACTGGACGTTTTCAAGCGAAGGCTGGATGACCATCTTTCGAGTATGTTGTAGGGCTATCTTTCAGCTGTGCTCCTGCAGAGTGCAGGGGTTTGGACTAGATGATCTGCAAGGTTCCTTCCAACTCTAACATTCTATGATTCTATGATCTGATAGTAATTCCACACACCCATCCCTAGTTCTGGGATGAAGGCAGTATTCTTATAATTGAATTTACAGTTTGTAAAATTCCTTGGGGGAAAGCCTTGTCAGTTAAATGGGCATAAAACCAGCCAAAGTGTAGATCTGTTCTATCACCTGCTTGGGGGAAGTACAAGGTAGCAGAAAGCAAAGCTTGGAGTGTTGTGGATTTACCAGAATTGTGCATGAGCCATAATTGTCTTTCAGTTAGAGAAACTAGATTCTGAGGTGACAAAGCCTAAGATTCATTATCTTTGTCCTCAGAGGGCCTGGATTTCCTTAAGAAACAGGGCACTTTTGTAATAGCTTGGTCACAGAGTTGGTGCCCTGTTTCAGCTGAATATGACATAATTCCTCATGAGAGTCAAACACAGGAAACAGAAGAATATGAGGACTTTTTGCTTCTCTGTTGTTTCCCTGTACAGATGGGGATTTCTTTCACCTTTAGCAGGCTTGAGATTTAATTGGATACATGACATATTCCCTGCTATGTAAGAATTTAAATTTATTGTCCTTCCTCTTTGAGAGGGCCACAGCTGTAGATGCAATTCTGAATGGTGTTAACATGTTAAAAAATGTTTTCTTTGGTCAAAGGATTTTGAAAAAATGAAGTTGCTCCATCAGTCAGACTGTTGGTCCATATAGCTTTTCTCTAATTGACAGTAGCTATCCAGCTACCTGAAGGATCCCAACATTTGGGGTAAGGAAGAAAATTTTGCCATGATAAATGATATAATGTGGATTTTCTCTAATAATTATAATTAAATAATTGTACTAGTTTCGAACTGCAAGAAAAGGTTTCTTTTCTGAAATGTTGAAAACTGAGAAATTTATTCCTTTGAAGTCCTGCCTTTCTGCCTTTCACTGAATTATGCTCCTTTATCCTCAGCAGTTCTATGCTTTTCCTAAGACTTGCCATCTAAAAACGCTGGGCAAACATGTCTATTTATCAAATATTCATACTAATGTTGCTTCTGTGAAAGGGCTCAGTTGCTAGCAGCATATCATACAATAGTAACATTACTATAGTCATCCTGGCGGTGGAAAGTGCCCTCAAGTCACAGCTGACTTATGGCGACCATGTAGGGTTTTCAGTGCAGGAGACTTTCAGAGGCGTTTTGCCATTGCCTGCCTCCACATCAGTATCCTGGTGTTCCTTGGAGGTCTCCCATCCAAATACTAGCCAGGGCCAACCCTACTTAGCTTCCAAGATCTCATGAGATTGGGGTAGCCTGGGCTATCCCAGGCCACAAACATCTTATATACAATTAACCTTTAAAAGGCATAATACAACTATATGAATGACAAGCAGTAGATCTTGGATACTTTAAAGCTTTCTGAATAGAACAGTAATAATCTTTCTCCTAAAAGCCAAGAACTGAGGGAAATATTCTCTCTTGGGAGGAGGTCTCAAAATTGGACAGCCACATAACCACATAGCCTGAAGGCCTAATATGGGGCTCCACAGATTTACCCAGACCAATGGAAATGGGGGGCAGGACTTTCCCAGAGCCTTATGCATGTGGAAGCAGAAGCAGCCCCCTGAGCATATGTTCAAATGGTTATAGCTGTGGGAACTAGAAGCTTCAGCCCATGCTGGTCCTACTGGTCCCAAGGTAAGATGGGGCAAGTCAGTACTGATGCCTTCCCCCAGTAAGGGCAGGGCTATTTTTGGGCAGGAACACACAGGAACGGAGTTCCGGCTGGCTCCTGAGTTGGCCATGCCCAGCAGGAGCTCATTAGCATAATAGGCCACACTCAGTAGCAGAAACTCATTAGGATTGGCTACATTAGGGGTGTGTGGCCTAACATGCAAAGGAGTTCCTGCTACAAAATAAGCCCTGGGTTTTGACAACAAACAAGGTAAACAGAATAAGAAGGGGTAGGTGGGTGTGGCTGGATTACCCCACTTCTGGTAACATGGGGGTGTGGCCTAATGTGCTAATGAGGTTTGCTGTTGGGTGTGGTTATGCTAATGAGTTTCTGCTGGGCTTTTTCTACAAAAAGAGCTCTGAGTAAGGGTCTCTTCTCTTCGCAGTTGTCCTCACAACAGCCTAGTGAACTGGGTTAGGCTGGGTGTGTGTGACTGGCCCATGATCATCCAGGAAGCTTCCATGGCAGAGTACGAATTTGAACCTGGGACTCAAACCCAGATCCTAGTTCAACACTCTAACCACTGTGCCATGCTGCCTGCCAACCTACTGTTCAACAGAACACCAGCTACAATTCTGAGTACTACACTGCAGCACACTGATGTCTTGATGCACTTTGAGCCAGTATAGTTGAGATAAATGGGGATATCCTCAGCAAGCATGGTAAAGGCAGCACAAAAAAACCAGCATGAATTCGGCACCTGAAAACTTCCATTCATTACACAAACAGTGAAGCATGTAACAATGATTTAGAGCTGGCCATCAGTTTCACTGAACTCCTGCCGTGACATCAAATGAGCTTTTTAATTCTTTGCAGGACATTGATTATTTCTCTGGAGGAGATTAATTCAATTAATTAATTCAATTAATTTAAAGCTTCCTGGAATGAAGGCAGTTATCACTAGCAAAGGGGGGCTGGGTACACTGATAATTTGTGTTGGTTTTACTGATCCTATAAAATATTAATACTGTCTCCTCCCTCAGTTCCCATGAATTAGTCTAATATTTGTAGAAGTAAAATTTCTCGAAGAGTAATGTGGAATACCTACACTCTCAACTATACCACTTGAAAGCTCAAGTAACGTAAGACCATCTGTAACTGCACACTGTGTCCAGAGACAACATTTTAAAATGTGGCTCTACAGACCTAATTCAAAGGTACCACCATTACAAGCACTGAGCACTGAAAAGGGAAAAGAAAGCAAATGCACTTGCGAGCCAACTTATGATGAACCTCAGTCCATCTGATTGTTTTTGTTGCCAAAACTTCCCTGAACTTATTTTAAAGAGCAGTCAGTTACAGTAGCTTTCTCTCCTTCAAAATGGCTGCCACAATCACTAGACAGGATTATGGTAGCCCCTGGCCTGTGACTGATCCCCTTGTGAACTTCTGTTTACATCTGCCACCCAACCTTACATCTGCCTGCTGCAGTGCCTATGTTAGGCTTCTATGGATGAGGTAGCCTTTTTTTCAGTCTCAGCTTTTCACCTGGAGAAAATGGCTGCTTGGGAAGTAGACTCTATGATGGTATACCCTATTAAAGTCCCTCCCCTCCCCAAACCTGTCCTCTACAGTGCTCCACTCCCCAAATCTCCAGGTATTTTCCAACCTGGAGCTGGCAATCCTAGTTTAAAGGGCTATAGTCTTCCAAAGTGTAGTGTTTCAATGGGTCATAGTATGAAGTCATTGCCAACACACACCCCTCCAAACTTTCCCCAAGTGCCACTGCTTGCAAAACTATATTTTGTATTCTGAAAGGTCTTTATAGATGTAAGATACAATTACTTGTCAGGTTTTTATTCTGTTTCAGAATATACTTTACCTGCTTTTCTGTTTGAATCCATGCCTCTTAAAGAATTCTTTGGTTCAATCAAGATGGCAGCGCCCTCTTCAAAGAGCTTTTATTGTTCACAGAAAACTCCAAATATCCCATGGTTCTAGAGAGTTTAGCACTTGAGTTTACCAATGAATCAGATGATCCAACTCCTATTTTCATTGGGGGGAAAGGATAATGGAGTTACTGAAATGCCTTTTGCCAGAAATGTCACATTCTGGGAAAGAAAAGGAACAGAAGGCTTTGTACTTCGTGGCATACTTCTGGGCTCAGGGCTACATCTGTAGAGAAGACGTTCTGCTGTGTGACAAGTTTTTACAAAAACAACCTTCCTTAGTCCAGGGGTTAGCCTAATTCAGCCATTTGGCTGACAACATACGCTATCCCTTTGTGTGACATCAATGCCAGGCTAGGACTATAGAAGGAGGAGACTGGATTTATACCCCGCCCTTCACTCGAAGCCTCAGAGCATCTTACAAACTCCTTTCCCTTCCCCTCCCCACAACAGACACCCTGTGAGGTAACCACTACACCAAACTGGATGTTGCTCAGTGAATAACAATGCATGCACCTCTTAATTCTTCCATGGGGATGTAGAATTTACAAGTCCCTAATAAGGAGTATACCTCTCCAGCACTGTTGCACCAGCCCCAAGAGAAATAAGAATTTACTACCACTGCTACTGTCAGAAGATTGTATAGAATTGCCAGTTTGATACTTCTGAAACCTATACCATTTGTTTTTATCGTTTCTTCAAAAGAAAAGAAAAAGAACCTCAGATTTTTCTGGCCTACCTTATACCTCTTAGCATGGGCAAATTTTGGCTACTTTATGTAGGGCAGGATGACCGAAATAAAAACCAAAAGAAAATAAAGTTTTATGTATAAATAAAGCTGTTTATTGCATAAAGGATAAACAGATTGTGAGCAAAAATGTCTAACAACTACTGAGCAAGGGCTAAAATTAAACAGGCACTAATTACAATCCCTCTGTCTAAAACACCTACCTGTGATTTTAATTGAGGAAGGTAACCCTCCTTCTATGATGGGGCCAGCTATTTATAAAGATTATATCAATATGTCAATTACCAATTAAAAAAAAAACTTTGAAAAGTACCCCTGGCAAGGGAGAGGCCGATTGTCGCACGGGCTGATTGGGGTGGAGCTGAGAAGATTGGGACTTTCCTGTGCACACGGCAGCCACCCCAGCTTTGCTGTGAACCATCCTAAAACCTCCTGGGGGTCTTCTGAAGCACCTCCTGCTCCAATGAGGTGAAGAAAGCCAGGATTAGAAGAATCATCCTGTCCCAAATTTGTGAAATGATATAATGCTGGAAGTGTCATTGGTTTGGGCCACCAACATGCAAGACTGAAAGGTTAACACATAGACTGAGGTACAGATGATCCAAAGAGGGAGGATGTGGCACATCAACATTCAGGTTATATTGTTCAATAAGCAATAACCAATATGAAGGATGAGGAGAAGAGATTTACAAGGTTCATGAGTTTCTAGGAGGTAAGTTGTTTGAGGAAAAACTGACAGAAATTAAGATGCTTAGCCTAAAGAAACAAAGTTTAAGGAGAAACCATGATCAGTTTTCAATTGTGTCTGCAAAACTATTTGTTAAATTTTTATGTCATCCTTTCTACAAGATGGCTCATGGCAATATGCATGATTCTCTCATCCTCCATTTTATATCTGTGAGATACATGGCAGAATTAAGAATGTCCTTACTTTTTTATGACTGAAATCTCTTATTATACTAATTTTGAGATCATCATTCAGTGGCACTAAATTTTCAGTCTACATTACTAACCTCTCTCAGGTAGACTTGAAAAGAATCTCCTCATAAATTTAGCAAATTGCTTCCCTCCATTCTTCCCTAAAATAATTTTTATATATGAATATTAACAAAATTATCATTGTTATATTCAAATGGACACACACCCCCTTCTAACTACTGGGGAAGTAGTGCCCCCCCCAATCATCTAAGGTAGTAAAATGGACTCCTGGCACTCATATGGTGGTTGGATCCAGCTAGATTTTTCTGTCAATCTCACTCGGTTTCCTTTATTACCATAGCCTTTATTTTTGTCTATGCAGATCCTACAATCCCCAACATAGCCAATCTGGTGGTCAAAGAGGACCCCTTCCTCTCTCTTTCATCAGTGGAAAAGCTGGCTGGATTCAACCTAATATTTTCCTGCTTAGCAGTAATTCATTACCTGAAAGATATACATCCTGAGCTTCATATGATATGAGATAAAAGCTTAAATAAGCTATATGAAATGAAAGTACAATTTAAACTTACCCCAGGCAGCTATATTAATCTTGCAGTTTCTGTACCGATCTATAGCAGTTTCAGGAACTTGTCTGAGCTGGAAACTCTAGTGCTTCCTGAAGTGGGTCTGTCACATGCCAATCGCTGATTTCAAACCCAAGCATATCTAATCTAAAACTTTCTAATTATGCAATTCTCAGGTCGCATTCTTGAGTCCCTGCTAATTAACACAGCTGTGAGTTTAATATGATGATGAACTGATAAAGCAGCGGTGGTATTTATTAAACTGTGTATTGTGCTTGGGGATTTTTGCTAGCAATGTAAAACCATGAGCTTAACTGTAACTTGAAGCAATGCCCTTGGCTTTTTGTTTCTATGTAGAGAGGGGCAGGCAGCAGGAGACACAACTCTACATCAGTCTCTGCTGCGGAAAAGTATGTGACCCCCCCCCCACTCATCTCAACCTACTTTCTATTGCAGAAGACAGGGATGGCCCAAGAGAACAGAGAGCTGGGATAGTTGACAAGATTGGCCAAGGGCATGATGGTGCAATAACTTCAGCACTTTCACTTTGCAAAGGTTACCCAGGAGGTCAGAGGCAGAGGTACAGCCATCTCAGTTGGCACATCCCACCTCTTTTTTTAGATTAAGGCTCTTTCGCATGGGCCTCCAGCATCTCGGAGTTGGTATTGACTGGGATGTCTATCACTAATGGGTTTGAAAGCTAAATGCCCCTACAGCTGGCATTTCTAAAATTAGATGTTGGGACTGAATCTTCCAGAAGTACTTGAAGATTAAAATACCTTCAATCATGGTGTTTTACTTTGTTCATTTACTGACTGACAGTCCCCCTTACTCAGTGAGACTCAAGGCAGGTTACAAAACTGAAAAGAGCAATGCAACAAAGAAAAATGGTACCTGGACTTACCAAAAACAGTGCAATAACTCATTAAAAAAATTAGAAAACAGTGTGCTACAAACATAATAATGCATGCAGTATACTGCCACTCTATTCCTTTTATGAATGTTCCCTTCTGACCAATTCCATTTATTACGACCCTATTCGCTTCATAAAAACGCCCTCCTGAACAATTCTGTTTTATACAGTCTGAGGAATGAGAGCAGCATGGGAGCCGACAGGCCATTCCACAAAATGGGAGACATAAAAGAGCAGAGTTACCAGCTCTGGCTTGGGAAATTCTTGGAGACTTGAGGGCAGATCCTGGAGAAGGCGGAATTGGGGGAGGGGAGGGAGCGCAATGGGGATATGATTCCATAGAGTCTACCATCCAAAGCTGCCATTTCCTCCAGAGGAAACTGATCTCTGTTGCGTGTGGATCAACTGCAATTCTGGGAGATCTCCAGCATGCACCTGGAGGTTGGCAACCCTACAAGAGAAAATGATTGGGTGCATGCAGCTGTTGGCTTTACCTAGGGTTACCAGATGTCCTCTTTTTAGAGGACATGTCCTTTATTTTGGTGTCCATCCTCTTTTGGGCTCTTTTTAAGAAAACGATAAAAATGTCCTCTTTATGGGTTGGAAGGTTAGGAATATTCCTAGTTACTAGAAATTATCACAGCTTAAATAGTAGGGCTATTTAAAATTAGATTTGTCATAGTCATCACTTATTTGAAGTAGTCAGTTGGGATTTTTTCTCTCCAAATGTTTGCTTCTCAAAATATGGTAAACCTATTTTACCATATTTACCTATTTTACCATTTGCGCCTTCAGAAAACTGTGCTCAGACGAGCCCGATTGTTGCAGTGGGAGGCAGCAAGTACAGTTTAACTTTAAGAGTGTAGCCAAACTGTGTGTGTGTTTATACAGGATCTGCCACTAACTTTCAGATAAGGAAACAATGCAAACTGTACTGCATTTCACATTATGCTACTCATTTTTCTTTTTAGTACCTTTAAGATAATAATACTTAACATTTATGTGGAAGTACCTAATGTCCATATGTTCTAGAGTAGGACCCCCACACACACACAGGACAAAGCTTGACGGGGCCACCCTTTTCCCTTGCTGGTGCCAGTGGCAAGACAAAGAATAAGCCCACCTCTGAAGCCCCCACCTCATTCTGAATCAGCACTGCTTTTCAATGAGGTTGTTAATATGGATTTCAGATTACTAGAAAAACTGGGTGACTAATCTGGGGGAGAAATTTGGCAGGCCCAGAGGGAAGGCATTTGGTCTGGCAAACCATTTAAACCAATCTGTCCTAATATATGGCATTTAAAGAGATAACAGGTGTTATTTGGGAGGGGCTGCGGCTCAGTGGTAGAGCATCTGCTTGCCATGCAGAAGCTCCCAGGTACAATCCCTGATGTGTCCAGTTAAAATATCTGGCTGTAGGTGATGTGAAAGACCTCTGCCTGTGATCCTGGACAGCCACTGCCAGTCTGAGTAGACAATACTGACTTTGATGGACCAAGGGTCTGATTCAGTATAAGGCAGTTTCATGTGTTCATGTATTTGAACCCCTATTGGCTTCAACATATTTCACAGAAAGACATAGAAAATTGCTGAACACACTGCAGCTAGAAAGGAATTTATTTCCATTTTCGGTGGGATGGTGAAAAAATAAGTACATTCTGGGGGTTGTTTGTGAATAGAGCTATCACAATTCCATCAAATTTCAAAAGCTAAGTATAATCAGCCCTGTTTATTACTTGGACAGAAGACAGTGAAGGCCAGTACTTTAAGAATGACTTTTAAACAGAAGTAGCATGGTGTAAAGCTTGACCAGTGTAGTCTCTACCCCAGTCTTCCACCTGACAGTTTTAAACCAAGTGACTTCTGAATAAAATAAGTCCAGCACTCATGAGGGAAACAGAAAAAGAACAGTAACTTTTATTTACTTCCAAGGATAAGAGAATAAGGTGATTCAGAAAAGAGGATAGAAACTGTTTACAGGCATAAGACAGTCTTGCTGGGCCCATTCATCTGTAAGGTTACAGTTGATAATTCAGGAATGTTGACAGCAGTCAGCAGCCAGGTTTGTAGTCTTGAGATGAATACTGGCCTTCCTTCAACCTCAGAATTCTCACAGTATAAATGTGAGCTCCTCTCAGAAAACACAAATCATTCACTTGTTTTCCTTCAGAAAACTTTGAGACACTTTCAGTCCTTTCCTCAAGTTAGCCTGCTTTAATACCAAAGACAGGTCCTCAGAATCTCACACATGACGCACATTAAGCTGCCTTATACTGAATCAGACCATTGGTCCATTAAGATCAGTATTGCCTACTCAAACTGGCTGCAGCTTTTCGGACTGAGGTCTTTCACATCACCTCCTGCCAGATCCTTTAACTGGAGATGCTGGGGATTGAACCTGGGACCTGGCGTGTGCAAAGCAGAGACTCTTCCACTGAGCTACAGCACCTCCACTGATTTGGGGGAGAAATTTGACAGGGCTGGAGAAAAAGTATTTGGTGTGACAAGCCATTTAAACCAATCTGTCCTGTCCCCAAAGTCTCCTGAGACAGGTTCTTTCCCAACTAACACTCTGGAGATGCAAAGCCCTATCTAAAAAATTACCTGGTTTAGCTTGTTACAAGACTTGCTATGACTCTGAGTCAATGAAATCAAAGTACTTAACTAAGGCAAACTCTGAAGCAGGAACCCTCCAGTCTCTCTTTCTTTGAAGGTTCAGACCCTGTCTGCCTGAGCTGACAGTGTAACACCTTTTTCTCTCTTCCTCCCCACCTCCACCTGGCTCCTTCAGCCTTTCCAGAGATCCTGATTGGCTGCTGGCTGCTCTGCTCCCTCACAAAACAGGGCTAAAGGGGACTGGTGTATCTCAGAAAGGGTCAGAACCCTTGCCCCTCTGAGACCACCAAGGAAGTCCAGGGTTGCAATGCAGGAGCGGGCAATGGCAAACCACCGCTGAACCTCTCTTGCCTTGAAAACTCAGTTGCTACTTGTCTGCCAAAAAAAAAAGTGAGCAGAATGAAGGAAATGTCAAAATGGTCCTCTGTGTTGTTCTCTTGGTAATTTTATTGAATTGTTTTTTAGGAATTCCCTATTCTGATGGACAATAGAGAGCTCTTCGCATGCTTGATGATGGCTGCTAATAAGAGCATAAGAACAGATGTGATGGATCAGACCAATAGTCTATTCAGAACAGCATCATTTCTAACCAGGGTCAACTAAATGTCGTTGCAGGCCCACAAGCAGGACCTGAAAGAGAAAACCTATCCCTATTGTTTCCACCCAGCACTGATATTAAAAAAGTTAGTTCCTCTGACCATACAGAGTTCCATTTAGTCATTTATCCAAAGTCTCAATGGAAACCTAAAGCACGGCAAAAGTGTGGGATATGGTTTTGTACAGGCAACTCATATGTGGACATGCATGTTTTAAAACTAAATATGGATTTTAGAAATCCTATTTGTTTCTGTTATTTGGATATGCAGAAACCAATGTGTCACGATGGAACCGTACTTGCAAAAGGGCTCGCTAGCGAACATGCGGAATAGCGTAGCTTGGAGCGCATCACAATAGAAGGTTTGTGAAAAGGACTGGGTTCGCCGCATGGAGGACTCGGACAACGACATGCTGTAGCACACGTTTATTGTACTTCACGTAGACAAAGACTAACTCTAACGGCCAACAGGGCCAACTATATACATATCCACCAGCAACCCTCCCACTCACATTGGAGGGTTTAAATGTCCCGCCAAGGTGGCTATTGGTTGGGGCTGGGGAATCCAGGATCCAAAGTTTCCTTTGTTTTCGGATCCAAGCTCTGGCCTGTCCGCAGACCCCTGGAGGCGGTCCACGTACATAACAGTTTGGATCCTAGAATGAACCAATAGATAGATCCGGAGCCTAGTAGTAGCCAATTGGGAAACAATACTTTGTAAATAGCCTATTGTGCGATGTGTGTGTGTGGGGGGGTTGGGTGTGGTGTGTTTCATGAATATAAGCAGGGCTCTGACCCTGCAAGTCTGTCTTAGTTTTGAGCTGAAACCACTTAATAAACAGGAGCCAATCACTCTACGTGTCTGAACCCAGTACATTTCACAATGACTGAACAAACAGTTTACACAGTTCAAGAAAAGTTGAGATTCAGGAGAGAGTGTCAGAACTGAAACTAGCAAAGAACTTTTCATTCTAGTCAAACAGATCTTGCAACAACAAGAAGATCTACAGCATTTCAGAGCTGATCTGCAGTGCTCAGATTGGGAAACCTTCCCTCTGCTATTTTCCCAAAGATCTTTCTTTCCAGAGTATTTTTAACAAGTATATTGCTGGCTCAGTGGCCTGAGAAGACTTTCTTGAATGTCTCACCCAAGTTCACTCTTTGCCTGAACTAGACTGGTTTTCATTGAGATGGAGTCCTTTTAGGTTATTTCTCATGCTTTATTTTGCTAATGTGTGAGTTTCTGCAGCATTTTCCTTTATATTAGTGGTATTTTTTCTTTACATGGTAGTAGTAATCGCTCTTACCAACCTGCTCCTTCAAAGAAAAATGAACATTTTGATCAGAAAAAGGTGGATGTTGGGAGAGGCACATTAAAAAAACAAACAAACTGCAGCTCTCTTCATAGGGATATGAAGCAATTTTTTGCCCAACCTGTAACTTTGTCTTGTGTCCCAAGATCCAAACTTTTCACATTCCAAAGTCCTCATCTTTGTTGAGTAAAAACATGATTTGGAATCGGACATCCAATGAGTGTTTTGTGTCCCCCAGTCTCATGCATGCCGTTTTCTCCTTTGTGTTGTTTTCTCCTCCTTAAACTGTCGCACAGCGCCATATTTGCTCTCTTTGTGAAATTATGCTACTTTTGTGGCTGTATATACGTTTCACAATGTGGCCAATGGTGAGTCTACAAGCTACTGTGAAGAAGGGGGGGAGGGCTGCAGCTGCTTCTGCCTGCAGGCCCTGTTTGTGAGAAGGAAAGGGCATAAGTCTGGGAGCCACTAAACTCCCATTGAGCATCTGATTCAAAGGCAGGGATGCCAGCCTCCTGGTGGGACCTGGAGATCCCCCAGAATTATAGCTCATCTCCAGACTAAAGACATCAGTTCTCCTGGAGAAAATCAGAGGTCATTTCGGGGGGGGATCGCAGTTTCCCCGGGTGAGGTATGGGGGGCGGGGCACATGACGAAGCCCCGCCCCCCGCTTCCGGCCGCCCCGCTTCCGGCCCTCATTCAGCCAGGAGGAGGCAGGAGAAGAGGGAGGGTAAGTTGCTTCCTCCCTGCCTCTCCCCACCCCTGCCTGCCTGGGGCCAGGGAGGGCCTTCGCAGGGCTTCCTTGCACTCCCCTTATGACACACTTCCGGTGATGTCAGGGGGTGTGGCATATGCTAATGAGTTATGCTAATGAGTTCCCCTAGCTCTTTTTCTATGAAACGACCCCTGGAGAAAATGGATGGTTTAGAGGATAGACTCTACGGAATAGTACCCTGCTGAGGTCCATGTCCTTCCCAGGCTCCATCCCCAAATCTCTAGAAATTTCCCATCCTGGATATGGCAACCCTACTCCCCCCATATCCCCCTTCGATGGCCAGGAGGGACCTAGAAACTGTTGCTCAGTAACACACGGCCTTTGTAAGGTGAATATTGACTCTGAAGATTGCAAGTGCCAGCTTCTGCCCATTTTGTTGCCCACCTTGCCTTCTTTGAGAGCCAGCATGGTGTAGTGGTTAAGAGTGGCAGACTCTAATCTGGAAAACTGGATTTGATTCCCCTTTCTTCCACAGGAAGCCTGCTGGGTGACCTTGGTTCTCTCACAGCCCTCTCAGCCCCACCTACCTCACAAGGTGCTTGTTGTGGGGAGAGAAAGCCACGTTGTAAGCCACATTGAAATTTCTTGAGGTAAAGAAAAGTATAAAAACCAACTCTTCTTATTTGGGTGTCAATGTCCCATTGTGTAACTTCACTTGGATTCCTTGGGCTGCCAAAAGCCTCCTCAGTTCTTTCAGTCATGTGAGAATTGCCTAAAACACTGGGGTCCATTCTCTCATCTCTCTGAAATCTATGATCCCTCAGGGCAAGGAGTATAAGCCCTAAGCATTTCATCTAAACTGGGTGGAAAAAAAAATTTATAGCTAGAGATATGTTTTGTATGGGAGGGGGATTATGGTGCTTGACAGGAAAGATCCCTTATATGTGACCTGTACCCTTCCTGAAAATTTCATCCAAATTGGATGGAAAACAAAGATGTTACAGGGCAAAAGTACATTTCCCACTAAAACCAATGGGAATAAAAAAAACAAATGAAATAAGTAATGGAATTGTTCAAACAAAAATGAAATGGATTTTTTTGCAAGTCTCTAGCAGCCAATACAATCAGAGACTGGTAGTATTGCACAGAATAAAAATAATCCAGAAGTGTTAATAGAAGTTGAGTTCTCATTTAATAATTAAGTAGATGATGGACCCACAGGCAGGTCATCAAAATATCATTTATTGGTTAAATTACATTCTATCCTGATGTCCACCCCTTTTTTCTTATACATGTCAAGTACTAGTTAGTATTAATCATAATCTTTATGTTTTCAAGCACAAATTAGTAGAACAAGAAGTTTCTTTTTGCACATACTTTTAGAATTAGCTTTATGTTGCAGCTTTTGTGTGTTGATTTGAATTTTAGAATTAAAATTAAGTGGGGGAAATCATGCTCTGTAACACTCTGAACCTCAAATTCAAAATGAGCCGGTGCTTAGTTTATCTGGTAACTTGATTAAAACAACAATAGTTATGAAATTATTTGTTGTAGAAAAGCCTGGACTAGGTGAAATAAGAATTCCATGTCCTTTCTCTGGTATAAAATATCCTACATTTCCAGCTTGAGCTTCAGCCCCGGTGCTGCTGTGTAATGAAATCTACCATCCCATTCCAGGCCTTGGGTGTCAGTAAATTCTCCCTGCCCTTCCAACCTGGAACACGAACAGGACAAAAACAGCATGTTTAGTGAATAACTACAATAATTGTCCTATGATTAATGACGAGAGCTAGTGCACTGCAGGGGCTAAAGTGCTGGACACTGAACGGAAGAGTTTGAGGTTCAAATCCCCCCTCAGCCTTGAAGCTTACACTACCAGTCACTCCCTCTCACCCCAATCTTTACCACCCGGAGTTGATGCAGGGGGAAACCCTATATATGCAAACCTGAGCTCATTGGAGGGTAAGATAAGAGTGAGATGGATAGATTCTAATCGCACTTCAGAATGTCAGCTTCCCAGTAAAGGTAACAGTGAACCAGGAAGTACCTTATAAAGGAGATTTCTGTTGCAGATTTTATTCCTTTATTTAAAACATTTCTATACCTCCTTTCCACCCACCTCAGGGTCCCCAAGGTGGCAAGAATTAAGACATTTCAAACATTAAAAGAGTGTTTCAAATACAAACGTAAGATTTTACACAATTAAACCATATAAACATACAAACAGGGAAGAAGGCTAATAAGAGTTAGTGAGGGAATGCCAAGGAAAACAGAAAAGTTATTACCTGCTAGTAGAAAATTTGTTTATTTCTATATATTTATTTATTTATCGAATTTATACCCTGCCCTTCCTGCTGAAAAACTGCTGAAGCAAGCTCAGGGTGGCTTACAAAGAATTAAAACACATAAATAGCAGTTAAAACAATCATAAAACCTTCTAAAAACAATCCAGATGTCATAAAGTGCTAGTACACAGTAGGTCTGGTAATAATAATGATGATGTTGTTTGGTGACGGCGGCAGCAAGTTGATGACCTATCCTATTGATCTGCTCCTTGTTCTGTTTCTTATGTGGCCGGTACAGGCTGTTGTTGGTGACTCCAAAGGACAGTGCTTACAATTATTATTGGGGGGCAGCCACTAGTTGAAGGCCTGGTGGAAGAGCTCCGTCTTGCAGGCCCCGTGGAACTGCATAAGGTCCTGTAGGGCCCTGATTTCGTATGGGAGCTCATTCCACCAGTATGGAGCCACCACTGAAAAAGCCCTGGCCCTGGTTATGGCCAGCCTGGCATTTTTAGGACCCAGTAGGGTCAGTCGATTTTGGGATCCTGACTGCAGTGCTCACTAGGGAACATGTGGGGAAATGCGGTCCCTCAGGTATATTGGCCCCTGACCATTAAGGGCTCTAAAGGTAAGAACCAGCACCTTGAAATGGATTCCGTATGCTACTGGTAGCCAGTGCAGTGCTTTCAGGACAGGCTGGATGTGCTCCTGCATAGGGAGGCCCATCAAAAGTCTGGCCACCGCATTTTGCACTAGCTGTAGCTTCCAGATCTGACACAAGGGCAGCCCCATGTAGAGAGCATTACAGTGGTCCAGTCTCAAGGTGACCACTGCGTGGATCACTGTTGCCGTTGTGTTCGAAAACATAATAAAAGGCTGACTTGGCAGTGGCTGCTACCTGGGCCTCCATTGTTAAGGAAGCATCCAGGAGCACTCCCAAACTCCTCACCTCCAGCACTGGCACCAGTGGAGTGGGATCTCTACCCTCGACCCACCCTGGCTCAGGCACAGGACCTCTGTCTTTGTCGGATTCAATTTCAGTTGGCTCAGTCTAAGCTTGTAGCGCCCGGTCCAGATCTTCTGGTTTAGAGTCAGACTGGCCACCCAACAACAGATAGAGCTGGGTGTCATCAGCGTACTGGTGACATCCCAGCCCATGCCTTCGGGCAATCTGGGCAAGGGGGCGCATATAGATATTAAATAGCATTGGGGGAAAAGCACTACCTCTTGGGGCACTCCACACTCCAGTGGGTGCCTTCGGAATAGCTGCTCCCCTAGTGCCACCCTTTGTCCCCGGCCTTGGAGGAAGGAAGTAAGCCATTGCAAAGGAAGCCCCTGGACTCCAGTGTCGGCGAGGTGGTAGATCAGTAGCTGATGGTCGACCATGTTGAACGCTGCCAACAGGTCCAACAACAACAGCACTGCTGATCCGCCCCAATCTAGATGCCTCCAGAGGTCATCCATGAGGGCGACCAGTGCCATCTCCGTTCTGTGGCCTGGGCAAAAACCGGACTGGAAGGGATCTAAAATGGAAGTGTCATCCAGAAAGCTCTGTAACTGAAATGCCACGGCCCTCTCTATTATCTTGTCCAAAGAGGGCAAATTGGAGACCTGCCAGTAATTTGCTAATTCGCTCTATTTGCTAATTTGCTCTATTACCTTGTCCAAAGAGGGCAAGTTGGAGACCCGCCAGTAATTTGCTAATTCGGCCGGGTCCAAGGATGGTTTTTTTCAGAAGAGGGCAGACCACCGCTTCCTTGAGTGCCCGAGGGAACAGTCCCTCTGAGAGGGACTTATTAATAATCTCCCTTAGGGCACCTCAAAGCCCATCATGGTCAGATTTAATAAGCCACGAAGGGCACGGGTCAAGGCAGCGTGTGGTGGGGCGTACAGTTAGCAGCAATTCGTTGACTTTCTGTAGGCTGAGTGGACTCAAATAATCCAAAACTTGACAAGAAGATGTGCATGGAGCCTCGAGTTCACTCACTGTTTCAACTGTAGCAGGGAGTTCGTGGCGGAGCGACAGGACTTTATCTGCGAAATAGCTCACAAAGGCCTCGCAGCCAATGTCCAATTTCCTAGTATTTGGTCTGCCTTGAGGCAGAGCAGTAATAGACCAAAACATTCTAAACAATTGGGCTGGGTGTGAACTTGTAGATGCAATTGTAGCCACATAATACTCTCTCTTTGCAGCTTTGTCCTATAGGATGTTCTTGTAGTTTCATCGCAGGCACACCACCACTGTCTCACTAGCCGTCTTAGCCCTTGCTTCATCAGCCACAACTCCTGGATGTACCAAGGTGCAAGCTTAGTGCGGGGGCGCAGAGGGTGTTGGGGACATTTGAGATGTACTAGATGTCTTCTGCAAGCTAACTGAAAACCTGCACATGTATGAAACTAGTATATAAAGTTTAGCCTGTAATCATTTCAGTGAAGTCAGCCTCCCCCAGAGTAGCTGTATCCATGCAACTGCAATAAATTTAGACAACAGATTTTAAATTCCCTTTTTTGGTGTGAGTTTTCTCCAGTACTAAACCAGAAGGATGAATATTGCTTACATCGAGGGAACAAGCTTACAGATACCGTCATTTCAACTTACTTGTTTTCATTGAACTGACCAGTGTACTTTGCTCCATTAGGAAATATGTAGGTTCCTATTCCATGGAACATGTTGTCTTTGAATTCACCTTCATAAACTGCACCTGATGGATGTTCCAGCCTTCCTAAACCATTCATCTGATTTAGCAAGAAGTGAAGATACCAGATTAATAAGGTAAAGGTAAAGGTTCCCTTGCTCGAAAGCCAGTCGAGTCCAACTCTAGCGTTGCAGTGCTCATCTCTGTTTCAAAGCCGAAGAGCCAGCGCTATCCAAAGACGTTTCCATGGTCATGTGGCCGGCATGACTAAACACCAAGGCGCACGGAACACTGTTACCTTCCCATTGAAGTGGTACCTATTTATCTACTTGCAATTTCTTGCTTTCGAACTGCTAGGCTGGCAGGAGCTGGAAGTAGAGACGGGAGCTCACTCTGTCATGCGGCAACTCGGGTCTCAAACTACTGAACTACTGACCTTCCACAGCCTTCAGTTCAGCGTCTTAACCACAAAATATGCCCATAGTGACTCTGGTTTGTCATCTCCATACACTTAGCAAATTTAAGGCTGCAGTCCTAGGCACTTTTACTAGAAATAAGGTCCACTGAACATTGTAGGGCTTGCTGCCAAAAAAATAATGAATAGGATCAGGCAGCAAAAAAACAGCCCAGCCCACTTATACATAAGATATCTGAAAATTCATCAAAAAGAATTAAGTAGGAATATACCTTATCATTATTCCAGTTTCCTTTGTATATAATTCCACTGGGAGTGGTATGCACTCCGTATCCATTTCTTTCAAGACTTCCCTCAAGTGTTCTTGTACATTCACCATCTAATTAAGGAAGAGAAAAAATAAGTAAGGAAACTCAATAAAACTAATAACTCCATTTAATACATTTAATAATTTGAACATATAGCATATTAAAGGTTCCCTTGCTCGAAAGCCAGTTGAATCCGACTCTAGAGTTGCGGTGCTCATCTCCGTTTGAAAGCCGAAGAGCCAGCGCTGTCCGAAGACGTTTCCGTGGTCATGTGGCCGACATGACTAAACACCAAGGCGCACGGAACGCTGTTACCTTCCCACTATTTATCTACTTGCAATTTCTTGCTTTCGAACTGCTAGGGTGGCAGGAGCTGGAACTAGAGACAGGAGCTCACTCCATCATGTGGCACACTCGGGTCTCGAACTGCTGAACTACCGACCTTCCACAGCCTGCAGTTCAGCGTCTTAACCACTTGAGCCACCGCAGCTGGCATATTACCAGTTAACTAATTTTCTGGTCTTTATTTAGTTGCCTCCCCCAATAGCACATTGTTTCATATAAAAATATATTTTGTTTATACATTTTGCTAGGTTTCTTCTGGCTATTGGGCAATTTCCCACACCAGAATCACAAGCATTTTGAGATTTTATTACTGTTTCACTGTTTTTAACGGAGTTCCCAGTAACTGTAGCCAGAACACTAACATTGTATTTTGTTACACAAGCAATTTCCCACAATAGGGAAGCACAGGGGATATGCACCACCCTAGGGCTGACAGATCCAGGCTGGGAAAATCCTGGAGATTTGGGGGTGGAACCTTAATGAAGTACAATGCCATAGAATCTACCCTCCAAAGCATCCATGTCCCCCAGAGGAACTGATCTCTGTAGTAGGGAGATGAGCTGTCATTCCAGGGGACCCCCAAGTCCCACCTGAAGGCTGGCATCCCTAATTTATAAACTGAGTATTTCTCTCCTTGTCACACCCCTTCTTAAACAGAACCATGTTACAGCTGGGAGCACTTCAAGATGTCAGCTTCCCAGTGGGCAACAGTAACTTTGACAGTTCTCCAGTGTCCAATAACATCCCTTTCCACAGTCTGGCAGCACAGAGTTGGATTGCTGAACTCCAGGTGGGCAGTAGGAATTACAACTAATCTCCAGCCTACAGGGATCAGTTCCCCTGGAGAAAATGGCAGTTTAAGAACATAAGAGAACATCAGAGAAGCCAATGTTGGATCAGGCCAGTGGCCCATCCAGTCCAACACTCTGTGCCACACAATGGCCAAAACGCAGGTGCCATCAGGAGCTCCACCAGCGGGGCCAGAACTCCAGAAGCCCTCCCACTGTTGCCCCCCCCCCCCAAGCACCAAGAATACAAAACATCACTGCCCCAAACATAGCCTTCCATCTATACCTTGGGGCTAACAGCCATAAGAGCCACTGATAGACCTCTGCTTGGGAGGGTGGGCTCTATGCATTATACAGCGCTGAGGTCCCTCCCCTCCCAAAACTCTGCCCTCTCCAGGCTCCACCTCCAAATCTCCAGGAATTCCCCAACCCACTGGCAACCCTACAGAGATGCACTGAGAAGTACTCCAGTGAAAGGAAATGTATTCTACTTCCTCTCATTTTTCTTCTAGACTTTTGCCAATGCAAAAGCTTTTAAATCCTCTCCACATTATCTCATCTAAGCAATCTTCATAGTGTTATTCAAAGTGAGCTACAGACAATCTATCAGGACTGACGTGAGAGCCAGTGTGGTGTAGTGATAAAAGTCTTGGACTACGACGTGGGTGACTCAGGTTCAAAGCCCTACTCTCCCAAGGGTGACCTTGGACCAGTCGCATACTCTCCCCCTAACTTCTGCCTCACAAGGTCTAATAGTACCAGAAGCTGTTGCTTGCTATTAGCAATTATATAGCGAGAGCACCTTCATCAGTTTCACCGGGGGATCTGAGGCTAACGCTAAGATCGCTGGTATGGCGACTCTTGGGCAAAAGATTCCGGTGCCCCTGGGGAGGGGAAAGTATAGTGGTGGGACCAGGCAGGGTGTTGAGGGAAGGGAGCAGAGAAACAGAGAAGCTCAGCGTCCTTCCAGCCTGTCTCCCATCCCGAAGGTTGTCGGCAGAGGGGCTAGGATGGATAACCCCCCTCCGACATTGGTGGTGTGCAACGCCAGGTCTATAAATAATAAGACCACAGTCTTGCAGGACTTTCTGCTAGAACAGAATGTAGACCTGGCGTGCATGACTGAGACCTGGGTGCGGGATGGGGAGACTGTAGCTCTCTCCCAGCTTGCCCCACCTGGGCTCTCGGTCCTGCACCAATCTCGGACTGGGGGGGGGGGGCGTGGCTATTTTCATTCAGGAGGCTTACTCCTTCAGGGCACTCCCACCGCTGGAGATCGCGGACATTGAGTACACTGGTCTGGTGTGGGAGGCCAGGGAGAGTTTGGCGATTTGGCTGGTGTACCGACCGCCTAATGCACCAGCCAAATAGCCTGTCATCCCTGATGGAGGCCATATAAGGCTGGGCGCTTGAACACCCTAGACTAGTAGTCTTGGGTGATTTCAACATACATGCCGATGACGCGGCCTCCATTCAGGCAACGGATCTAGTGTTGTCCATGGTGGCGGTAAGACTCTCCCAACTTGTAACGGCTCCAACTCACCAGGCCGGACACATGCTCAATCTAATCTTCGCGGCGGGGGTAAGAGTGGACAGGATTACTGCCTTGGCAGTACCATGGTTGGACCACCATGCCCTGAAGGCCCGTCTGAATGTTCCACACCGACCCTGTTTAGACGGTGACCATATTTTAGCTCGCCCATGGAGCCAAATGGACCCAGTACGGCTTCAGATGGCTCTGCGGGATCCAATGCCCCCTGGCGGCTCGTTGGATGAGCTTGTGGAGGACTGACATAGTCGGCTCTCCACAGCCATCGACAAGATCGCTCCCTGGCGCCCTCTGTGCTCTTGCTCTAGGCTTGCTCCCTGGTTCACCCAGGAGTTCGAGACGAAGCGACAAGAGCATCTTATAGGACGTTTATGAGATCCTATGAGATGGCAGTCAACGCTGCCAAGAGAGAGTTCTATGCGGCCACGATTGCGTCTACGAGCTCATGCCCAGCCCAATTGTTTAGAACGATTCAGGCAGACCAAATGCTCGGGAATTGGATATTGGCTGCGAGGCATTTGCGAGCTATTTCACAGATAAGGTCTTGGCGCTCTGTTGCGACCTCCCCGCCACAGTTGAAACAGTGAACGAACTCAAGGTCCCTTGCGCGTCTTTGGATCCGGCTTTGGATCATTTCAGCCCGCTCAGCCTAGAGGAAGTTGACAGATTGCTCGCAGCTGTGCGCCCAACCACATGCAGCTTTGATCAGTGCCCTTCCTGGCTTATTAAAGCTGGCCACGAAGGGTTCCAACATGCCCTAAGGGAAATTATTAATATGTCCCTCTCTGAAGGGCGGTTCCCGGGGGCACTCAAGGAAGCGATGGTCCATCCCCTCCTGAAAAAACCATCTCTGGATCCGGCCGAATTGGCTAACTATCGGCCGGTTTCCAATTTGCCCTATTTGGGAAAATTAATTGAGAGGGCGGTGGCATTACAGTTGCAGGGCTTTATGGATTACACTTCTGTACTAGACCCCTTCCAGTACGGCTTTCGCCCAGGACACGGGACGGAGATGACGCTGGTCGCTCTTACTAATGACCTCCAGAGGCATCTGGATCAGGACAGTTCAGGGGCACTGTTGTTGTTGGACCTGTCAGCTGCATTCGACATGGTTGACAATCAGTTGCTGACCCACCACCTCGCCAACATGGGAATTCAGGGGCTCACCTTGCAGTGGCTTGCTTCCTTTCTCCAAGGTCGGGGACAAAGGGTGGCACTAGGGGAACAGTAGTCCAGGAGACACCCGCTTGAGTGCGGAGTGCCTCAAGGGGCAGTGCTTTCCCCGATGCTATTTAACATCTATATGCGTCCCCTTGCCCAGAATGCCCGAAGGGATGGGCTGGTATACCACCAGTACGCTGATGACACCCAGCTCTATCTGATGTTGGGCGGCCAGTCAAACTCCAGACCGGAAGACCTGGACTGGGCACTACAGGCCGTGGCTGGTTGGCTTAGACTGAGCTGGCTGAAGCTAAATCCAGCAAAGATGGAGATCCTGTGCCTGAGTCGGGGCGGTCTGAGGTTGGGGATCCCACTCCCGACATTCGGTGGGGCACCATTAGTGCCAGCACTGTTGGTTAGGAGCTTGGGAGTGCTCCTGGATACCTCCTTAACAATGGAGGCCCAGGTAGCAGCCACTGCCAAGTCGGCCTTTTACCATCTTCGCCTGATCTGGCAGTTGGTTCCCTTCCTCAACCGTGATGACCTGGCCACAGTGATCCATGCAATGGTCACCTCGAGATTAGACTGCTGTAACACTCTCTACATGGGGCTGCCTCTGTCACAAATCCAGAAGCTGCAGCTAGTGCAGAATGCCACAGCTAGGCTTCTGATGGGCCTTCCTAGATGGGATCACATCCGGCCTACGCTGAAGGCACTGCACTGGCTGCCAATAGCATATCGAGTTCACTTCAAGGTGCTGGTATTGACCTTTAAAGCCCTATATGGCCAGGGTCCGACATTCCCCATAAATACCCCAGAGAGCACTACGGTCAGGGTCACAACACTGATTGGCCATCCCAGGGCCTAAGGATGTCAGGCTCACTGTCACTACGGCCAGGGCTTTTTCAGTGGCTGCTCCATACTGGTGGAATGAGCTCCCAGAGGAGATCAGGGCCCTGCGGGATCTTTTGCAGTTCTGCAGGGCCTGCAAGATGGAGCTCTTCCACCAGGCTTTTAATTAGGAGCCACCCAGCACTACCACCAACTTCTGCGGTAGTGGGCTGGCCCGGGTTTGAGATTAGTTACACCGCCGTGTGTTGCCAGAAGTTTTACTGAGCTGGAAATCGTGTGCGTTACATCATATAATACGCCATCTTATCAACGAAAAATGGCTACTTCAGTTAGCACTTTGATTATTTTAAACGTTTAAAATGCTTAAAATGTTCTGTGCCAATGAATGTGAGCCGCCCTGAGCCTGTTCGCAGGGAGGGACGGATAAAAATGGAATGAAATAAAAATATACAAATAAATTGTGAGGATAAGCTGAAGGAGAGGTAAATAATGTAAATTACTTTGGGGGCCCAGGAGGAGAAAGGCATGGTATAAATGAAGTAGATAAATACATAAAATATATAAGTGTACTGTAATAAATTGCATGTTTATACTTAGTGGTCAGCAGGTGGCAGTACAGATTGATTTTAAAATCCACTCCAAGATTTAGGGAAGAGTTGCCACCTAGCTGGGTTAATGTTTTTAGTGGCCTGCCCAAGAATCACAGAATTCTAAAAATTGTGTTACTGAATCAGATTTAGTTACAGTGTAGATCTGCTGAAAGAGTCCCAGCCCATTCAATGAAACAATATGATATTTTTAAAATACTTTTTAAAAAGTTATGTTGTTGATTCAATTTTGCTCTGTTAGAATATTTGAATGTTTTCTTGAAGACTGACAGATCCAGTTTCCAAAATCTGTAAAAGCTTTTTCCACATGCAATAACTGTGATGCACACTGCCTGTGTGCTCAAGGGTCAGTCATTGCAAAGCTCAGGAGCAAATGCAAGTGCACAACTGACATCTCCTGTCCACACAGACCTAGGGAAAACTGAGATCTGAGTGGCCGTACTAGCACTTCACTCCCTCCTCATAGATTAGAAAATTATGTTTTGTACAGACCGATCCTGACTATGCTGCTTCAAAAGCAAGTCCTACTGAGTGATTTACTCTCAAGTGTGTGTGGAAATACAACCATAATCACATTATTTGCCAGCTTGATGTGCTGGAAAACAAATTTAGGTTGCATTACAGTGCAAGATTTTGCAGAGTAATTGTACTTTAAGCCTATCTTTGAAGTCAATGGGCTTAGAAAGGTGTAACTCAATTTAGGATTGCACTGTTAGATAACTATTATACAGATTCATACAATGCATTGTTTTTCACACACCAGTCTATAATTTGTTTTAACAAACTACCACAACTGTGATACATCTGCCCCTCCAAACATTAACAGCTGTTACTTAAAGAAACCCATATAAACTTTATTATGGCCGTATCGCCATCACTATGTTAATGATTTTAATAACTTATGTATTTTATATTAATTTCTATACTGTTGTTTTATATATGGTTCTTGTGTAAACTGCCCTGAGCCTGCTCCAACGGGGAGGGCAGGGTAAAAATCAAATCAAATCAATCAATAAAAATAAATAAATATAACATTTTCAGTTATCTGAAAATATTTTACCATACTTATCTTGATTTGGAAATATAAACGATATTTTATAAACTTCAACACCTGTTGAAAGAGAATATTAATGTCACTGATCTTTGAGAATACCATTAACAATTCAAAATCCTTTATATATAACACATGAAACAAACAGTAACAAAATATATAGCACCAATTATGCCCAGAATATATGAACCTTAACTACAATGACCTCATGAAAATGGCTGAGATGCTGGGATGCTTTGGGATACAAGATGAAAGGCAGCGGCACAGCATTATATGTAAACAAGAAAAAATGCATTTGCCCAATTTTTACACCAAAAATTAATGATTTGATAGATTATGTAGATATGACATATATAGTACTCAGAACAAATTTTCCTATGACACGATAAACAGCTAGAAATTCACAAGTAAAGTTAATCACAGGTAGAAATTCACAGGTGGAGTTTTTCCAAAAACAATTTGTAATAATAAATGCAAAAAAGTCCTTGAACTGTAAGGATGTAGTAGTGTCTCTGCCAGCTGACTTGATGGACCCCCGGTTATAAATCCATTTCAATAATTTCTTCAAGAATCATGCTGGATTCAACATTTCAAAGATACATGTAGACATCTATAGAGTATATTCAGACAACACTCAAGGAGAGTGTTTTTAATTATATTTATATATGCATTTTATGTAAGCCACCCTGAGCCCACCTTGGCAGGAAGGGCAGGGTATAAATCAAATAAATAAATAAATAAATAATAACAGCAATCCTCAGTGATTCCCAATGGAGAAGCAATCATTTCTTGGAACCAAAATTCTGAAGCATTTCACCACTATGCCATAATGATTGATTCTCCATTGGGAATCGCTGAGGATTGCTGTTATCTGAATATACTTTATGGATATCTACATGTATCTTCAGGGGTCATTTCGTAGAAAAAGAGCTAGGGGAACTCATTAGCACAACTCATTAGCATATGCCACACCCCCTGACATCACCGGAAGTGTGTCATAAGACCACACCCCCTGACATCACCTGAAGTGTTTCATAAGGCCACACACCCCGCCCCCAACGGTCCCGGCCGCCGCTGGCGGCCTTGCAGCTCCACTGCTGAGCCCCATGAGGGGCCCGGCGGTGGACCTGCAATGCCAGCAGGAGTGCAAGGAAGCCCCGCAAAGGCCCTCCCTGGCCCCAGGCAGGCAGGGGTGGGGAGAGGCAGAGAGGAAGCAACTTACCCTCCCTCTTATGCTTTGGGGGGATTCTGGCAGATAAAGTGATGTATAACACAGTGCCAGGTGTGATGAACTGACCTCCAAAAGCAGGATGCTTAGGGCAGAAGTCTTGGGTGTGTCCTCGGTGCAAGGAGCTCCTGGTTCTCAGGGAACGTGTGTGCTCCCTTGAGGCCAAGGTGGCTGACCTGGAGAAGCAGAGACAGTCAGCTAGGCGCACAGAAAAGACTCTCGGGGACTTGTTAGCTACGTCCCACTCTGGATCTGGCAGCCCCGCTGCTGTCAGGGAGCATGAGGGTCTAGGGGAAACAGGGCACCATGCTGAGGATAAGGGGAATGTGCCCTCAGAAGGGACCTCTTCCCCAGCTGGTGAGCGGCTCTCCTTTTGCACCAAGGAACCATCCCTGAGCAGGGTGGGAGGGGGGCTCTTGGTAGTGGGTGATTCGATCCTTAGGCAGGTAGACAGCTGGGTGGCGAACCCGCGTACTGACCGTATGGTGACTTGCCTGCCTGGTGCGAAGGTAGCGGACATTACGCGTGTTTTAGATAGGCTGGTAGATAGTGCTGGGGAGGAGCCAGTGGTCGTGGTGCATGTCGGCACCAACGATGTGGGGAAATGCAGTCGTGAGGTCCTGGAGGAGAAATTTAGGATGCTGGGCAGGAAACTTAGGTCCAGGACCTCCAAGGTAGCCTTCTCAGAAGTGCTACCTGTTCCACGCGCAGGGCCGGAGAGACAGGCACAGATCAGGAGTCTCAATGCGTGGATGAGACGATGGTGTAGGGGGGAAGGGTTCAGGTTTGTTAGGCACTGGGATACTTTTTGGAACAAGAGGGAGCTGTACAGGCGAGACGGTCTCCACTTGTCCCGAGAAGGAACCAGGCTGCTGGCACTTAAAATCAAAAAGGTGGCAGAGCAGCTTTTAAACTGAATATTGGGGGAAAGCCGACAGGAGATGAAAAGTCTCTGGTTCGGGTTGGCTCATCTGAGAGAGGTGAGGGGGTACCGGTTGCTTTTCTACAGGGAGGTGGATTGAAATTGTCCACAGAGGCCATGGCTGGTGACATGGACTGCCGGACAACGACTCGAGATAGCAAGAGGAAGGATGCAGGCTTAACTTGTAAGGGAAATTACAGCTGTTTCTATACAAATGCTAGAAGTGTCCGAGGTAAAATCGGGGAGTTGGAGTGCTTGGTGTCGGAGGGAAAAATAGACATTGTGGGTATTTCTGAAACTTGGTGGGATGAGGAAAATCAGTGGGACACAGTGATTCCCGGTTATATATTATATCGGAAGGATAGGGGGGGAAGGGTTGGAGGTGGGGTAGCTCTGTATGTCAGAGAGGGTATAAAGTCTAGAAAGATTGAGAGGCTAAGTGAATTGGATTCGCTTCTGGAAGTTCTATGGGTTGAAATAGGGGGGCCAAAAGGAAACTTAACACTGGGAGTTTGTTATCGCCCACCAGATCAAAAGATAGAGGAGGATTATAAAATGATGAATGCCTTAAAGATAGCAACTAGACAAAAACACTGTGTAATAATAGGTGATTTTAACTACCCACACATTGATTGGGTCAATATGTGTTCTAGCCGGGAAAAAGAGATTGAGTTTCTAGACACTCTAAATGACTGTGCTATGGAGCAGATGGTCACGGAACCTACCAGGGGAGAGGCGATCCTTGATTTGGTCCTAAGTAACACTCAAGACCTGGTGAGAGATGTAAAAGTGATTGCACCGCTTGGAAACAGTGATCATAATGTTGTTGAGTTCATCATTTGTACAAATAGAGAATTGGCCAAAAAGACTCACACAACCATTTTTAACTTTAAAAGGGGTAATTTCTCTGATATGAGGGGACACGTGGGGAGGAAACTGAAAGGAAAAGTAGAAAGGGTCAAAACAATTGGGGAAGCTTGGGATCTATTTAAAACTACGATCCTAGAAGCTCAAAAAATATATATTCCGCAGGTTAGGAAAGGCACAAACAGGTATAGGAAAAAGCCTGCATGGTTAACAAACAGAGTAATGGAGGCTGTAAAAAGTAAAAAGAATTCCTTTAAGCAGTGGAAAGCTAGTCACAGTGAGGCTGATAAAACGGAACACAGGCTATGGCAAATAAAATGCAAGTCTGAGGTCAGGCAGGCAAAAAGGGAATATGAGGAGCATATAGCAAAAAACGTAAAAACCAACAATAAAACTTTCTTCAAATACATTAGAAACAGGAAACCAGCCAGGGAGGCAGTGGGGCCCTTGGACGACCAAGGGGTAAAAGGAGTATTGAAGGATGATAGGGAAATGGCTGAGAAGCTAAATGCATTTTTTGCCTCCGTCTTCACTGTGGAAGATGAGAAGTGCTTGCCCACTCCAGAACCACTGATTTCAGGAGGGGTGTTGAAAGACCTGAGTCAGATTGAGGTGACGAGAGAGGAGGTCCTAAAACTGATAGACAACTTAAAAACTGAAAAATCACCAGGCCCAGATGGCATACATCCGAGAGTTCTGAAAGAACTCAAATGTGAACTTGTAGATCTCCTGACAAAGATATGTAATCTTTCCTTAAAATCTGCCTCCATTCCTGAGGATTGGAAGGTAGCTAATGTCACTCCCATCTTTAAAAAGGGTTCCAGAGGAGATCCGGGAAATTACAGGCCAGTCAGTCTGACGTCGATACCGGGTAAATTGGTGGAAACCATTATTAAGGAAAGAATTAGTAGGCACATAGATGAACAAAACCTATTGAGGCAGACTCAGCACGGTTTCTGTAAGGGAAGATCTTGTCTCACTAACCTGTTAGTGTTCTTTGAGGGGGTGAACAAACATGTGGACAAGGGGGATCCAATAGATATTATTTACCTTGACTTCCAGAAAGCTTTTGATAAAGTTCCTCATCAAAGGCTCCTAAGTAAGCTCAAAAATCATGGGATAGAAGGACAAGTCCTTTTATGGATCAAAAACTGGCTAGTTCATAGAAAACAGAGAGTGAGTGTAGGTGGGCAATTTTCTCAGTGGAGGGTGGTAAGCAGTGGGGTACCGCAGGGATCAGTACTTGGTCCACTGCTTTTTAACTTGTTCATTAATGATTTGGAGATGGGAGTAAGCAGTGAAGTGGCTAAATTTGCGGATGATACAAAGTTGTTCAGGGTGGTGAAAACCAGTGAGGATTGTGAGGCACTCCAAGGGGATCTGTCAAGGATGGGCGAGTGGGCGTCAACATGGCAAATGGGGTTCAATGTGGCCAAGTGCAAGGTGATGCACATTGGAGCCAAAAATCCTAAATATAAATACACATTGATGGGGTCTGAACTGGCAGAGACTGAGCAAGAGAGAGATCTTGGAGTTGTAGTGGATAACTCACTGAAAATGTCGAGACAGTGTGTGACTGCAATAAAGAAGGCCAATGCTATGCTGGGGATTATTAGGAAGGGTATTGAAAACAGATCAGCCAATATAATAATGCCCCTATATAAATCAATGGTGAGACCTCATTTGGAATACTGTGTGCAGTTCTGGGCACCACACCTTAAAAAGGATATTATAGCTTTGGAAAAAGTGCAGAAAAGGGCAACTCGAATGATAAAAGGGTTGGAACACTTTCCCTATGAGGAAAGGTTAAAGCGCTTAGGGCTCTTTAGCTTGGAGAAAAGACGACTGAGGGGTGACATGATCGAGGTTTATAAGATTATGCATGGGAAAGAGCAGGTAAAGAAAGAGGTACTTTTCTCCCTTTCTCACAATACAAGAACTCGTGGGCACTCCATGAAACTGCAGAGCGGTCGGGTTAGAACGGATAAAAGGAAGTACTTCTTCACCCAAAGAGTGATTAACACATGGAATTCACTGCCACAGGAAGTGGTGGGTGCTACAAGCATGGACGGCTTCAAAAGGGAATTAGATAAGCATATGGAGCAGAGGTCCATCAGTGGCTATTAGCCACAAGGTATAGCTAGGGGCTCTGGGGCAAGTGATGCTCTGTCTTCTTGGTGCTTGGGGGGGGGTCAACAGTGGGAGGGCTTCTAATGTCCTGGCCCCACTGCTGGACCTCCTGATGGCACTGGTATTTCTGGCCACTGTGTGACACAGAGTGTTGGACTGGATGGGCCTTTGGCCTGATCCAACATTGGCGTCTCTTATGTTCTTATGTTCTTAAAGTAGAGAGCTGGGAGATTAGAGGTTAATATCTCACCGTAAAGCAGTTCGATTGACAGGCTGCTGCCTGCATGCACCCCCTTCTCTCTGACTGGTCAGTGCCAGCTGAGGAGAGTTTTTAAAAGTCTTGTCAGTCTTGTCAGAGTGAGTCAGTTGTGGTTTGGACTTTAGCTTGCCAGTTGCCAGTCAGGAGGAGTGTGTGTGTTGGTCTGAGGGAAACAGATAAGTCACTTGAGAAGTGAAGGGACACAACTCCTTACCGTGATTGTGTACTAACATAATTGAGGAAAAGTTCAAAAATCAGAACAAGCCCTAGCTGAACTCCATTTATTCAGTCTCTAGAACTGGAGTTTAGGTTTGACAGAAGGGACTGGATAGGAGGCTGGAAATTGCCAGTCTAGCCAAACAGAAAAGGATTATTGCCCCTAGAAAGAGGAGGGTTCAATTCAGAAGTGACCCCTGGTTTGTGCGAAAAGGAGTCTTAGACTCCTCAAGAGTGAAAAAGGGAAAGTTATAATCCCACAAGGGAAGTATTCAAATACAGGAAGAAAGTACTAACTTCCAAGAAACAAAAATAGTTTTATGAAACTTTATTAAGACACATTGTTGCTGAAAGAAATCTCCAAGACAAACAAACCTCTTACAGTTAAGAACTGAGTCTCTAAGAATATAAGCTTCAATCATACTCTGTTGCTTGTTCAAAATATTCTGATTTGTATAATCAACAGCAGTTACCTCAGCTTCTCATCCCGTCCTATTCCTAATTCAACTGTGCCTGTTTAATAAAATGAACCTTTTTGTTTGAACTTTGTGTCAAGTGCCATTTCAAAAGGGTTTTATAAAAGGGCTCCTGCTGAGTTACAATAAATCTCTGGCATGGGCAAAAAGCCGAATAACTTCTCTATCACAGGGTGGGACACACAGAAAGTTATCTCTCCTTATATATAATTGAATAGTGGGTGCCAAAGTTCTAATTCTAAAATGCACTCCCTTAGTGTATGGCTGATGGCACTGCTCCTCAGCATATATCACCACTAATCAGAAGGCAAAGCCCGGGTCCCGCCCACACCACAACTGCTGCGACAACCTGGTCTTTTGCATATGGAAGCTGATTGGACTTCACTCCATTCCACACCACAAACTCCCCCCCCCGCAAGGCAGTTGGAATGTCAGTTGCATATGGAACCTGCTGTATTCTGGTGGTGTGCAGGTCCCAGGTTCATGTTTTAAAAGCAGACTGACACTGTTTGCCCAAAGCCAGAGCACTCTCCCAGAGCCTCTTTCTAGATCTCGTTGTATTTATTTCCACAACGGGCCTTATTTCTAGTATTTCTATAATAGAAACATGCTACTAAGAGGCTGTTCAGACAGATTGGGGAACAGTGTTTTGGCTGGAATATCTGCCTCACAGAGAAGAGGAAGTAGAGGTCCATCATACCAGGTTGTTCCATTTGTGTGTTAGTTATTTCCAAATAATTCATATGGAGTACTAAAATATACATTTTTAAAAATGTGGCATTATGACTGTCTCATGTTTCCAACTGGGTATTTCCTCTTTTTGCATGCTGTGCTGTAACCACTCCTGTTACTGTAATTGGGATAGACTGAGAATGCTAAAATGTTGAAAGCAGATAAAGCACCTGCAGCACTGGGAAACCCACTTGTCCTATCCTCAGCTGCAAAGATTGAAGGACATAATGAAAGTCTGAGAGTAGTGTGCATTATTTTACAAATCGTGCTGAATCCAGGCATCCTGGAGGGAGTGCCTGGTTGTGGCCTCCTCTCCCTCTGATGGTCTCCACAATGGCAGTGGGAGGCTTGGGGGGGGGGGGGGCCCCAAAAACCCTCAGAGCTGGTGCATGGAGATGATTCACCACAACATGGATCAAGGTGTGCGGATCTGAGGGTTGTGTGGGTGGTAAAGGACTTTGGTTAGCATATGCTTACCTGGGTGTGGATCTGTGATGAGCTTTGGGAAGGGAGACCTGTTCAGGATTCAGATATTTTTGATATGAATTTTGACCCCACAGGTGGAAGAATGTACCTTTCTGGAACAAAAGTAGCCTCCAACAGTTTTTGGGATTGTTGCTAAACAGGTTCACCCCCACCCCAAAAGACCAGTATAAGCCAGTGCCTAAATACATGCCTGCTCATCCTGACAACAGAACCATCTCTCAAACTGAGAAACAGAAAAGGCCGAGGGCCACATCCTGCATTGTACTTGTACCTTTATTATTCATGGTATGGGTTGCAGCCAGTTTGCAGATCTACGGAAGTCCAGCTATCTGGGAAATAAGCTTCTTGCTTGCTGCCTCCAGGGAAATCCCTTCGCTTTGAAAGAAAACACCCTCTGCCACAAAACAAACTCCCTACAAAACTCAGCTCAGAAGGATGCGCTTGCGGTTGCCATGGAGACCTACTTATCAGTGTCCCCGGAAGCAGACGAGAAATAGGTTTCACTTCCGGGTGTCTGGTCGAGGGGAACGAACGGAAAGCCGGTCCTGACAGTTTACCGGGATCGCACTAATTGGGGATGGCGGCATGCGCTTGAGGTATCTTTAAGATTTATGGGGTGGGGTCGGCAAAGTTAATGTGCCATTAGCGGCGAGGGGGTGTCATGTGATTGGATATGGAAGTTGTTCAGCGTTAGAGTCTGTGCTTTTCCGGCAGAAAATACTACCAGCTAGGTTAATCCCTGACATCTCCTGTCTGTTGCTTTCCCACCCCCCCTTTTAAATCCCAGGTAGTGGAGCTGGAGAAGACCTCTGCCCCAAAGCATTGCAGAATTAGTCTGAGTAGATTGTGAACCCTCAAGTTCGTCTTAGTATAGAGCCGCTTCATATGTTTATTAGGGAAGTTACAACTATGTTAGTGGACTACTGAGGATTATGGTGTCAAGTTTGGATACAAAGAAAAACTGGTAGTAAATCGGAATGTGATGTTTTTGCATCATGAGCCGTTTTGCTTTTGAAAAAGCAGTATGTTTTCTTCCATTGTAATTCTCCCCACTTGGTTGTTGTAACTTTTATAATTGTCCTTTCCCTAATTGTCCCATGTACTATCTGTATCACAGCAGTCTTACAACAATCTTATATGCTTGTTGTCCGGTATCAGTACCCCTGTGTTCCAGCTGTGGGTTGAGCCTGAGCTACAATAGCTTAACTAAGGCAACATAATTAAGTTTATATATGTGGTGAGAATAGAAAAGGGATTCCAACTCCTGTATTATTAGCTGCTGTGCAAAAGTAGCGCATACATATGTGTGTATGCGATTTAAACCAACTTCACTTCATGCAACTGATGAAGTAGGCTATTGCCAACAAAAACACAAGCCACAACAAAGTAATATATTAAATATCACAGATCTTTGTCATTTTAGTTTCAACAACAGACCAATATAGTATATCTTGTAGAATGTCCCTTAAGGTTGGAATGGGATAATTGGTGTTTTATCTTCGTTTGTTGTATTCTCACAGTGGATTGTGGGGATACAGATGAAATGTTGCTGAGTATAAAGACATAGGTAATAGGATACAGAGAGGATGTCACTGGTACAGGTTAGTTGGGGAGGCAAAAAGCTGGTTGATGTCTTGGACCAATGCTAAGTAACAGAAATATTTGTTACCTTTTCTGTATTTTGGCTACATATAGCAGGATGTTAATCTAATGCTGTACTTTGCTGTTTGTAATTTATTTCTCTTTACTTGTATTCTCTTTCTCTTTAGTGGTAGAAAATGAGTTCATCAGGGAAGAGAAGAGGAAAACCCAACAGAGGAGGTGGAAGACAAGGGAGAGGAGGAGGAGGAGGAGGAGGAGAATTGTTACCTGTTAGAAGACAACTGGGTCATTCTAGTTCAACTGGCTATAGCTTTCACTGAATATCAACAGGCAAGGAGGAGGAGAGGACTGGAAAAGGTGGTGGTAGACCTTCAAGCAAACATCAAGCCACTGGAAGTAAAAAAGGCTCAGACAAATTTTGGGATGATTTTGGTGATGACTTTAGTGTTTCTAGTACAGCAAAAAACAGGTCAGTAAAATCTAATGTTTCTGAATTTTTTTTTAAACAACCAGATTCAATGAAGTGGAATGGCCCAAGTAAGTGTTCAGCCGCAACACCTTGTTTGTTTAGTAGAAACCTCATAAAGATGCACACTGAAGGGCTTATTGACAGCAGACTGCTCACTTAACTTGTTTGTTCTCATCTACTGAATCTGGGATGGTGTCTTTCTTGGAGGGATGTGTTTGTTAGTAGCTACTTGCCACACTAGCCAGCAATACATCTCCACTTTTGAAGGCAGTATGCTGAATACTAGATACTGGGGACAAAGAATGACTTCTGCTAGTGATAGTCATGCCAAGTATCTCATCACAGGACAGAGAATCATAATATGTGCTAGTGGAATTTATTAACCAGATAGGAAACCCAATATATTATAAGGGAAAGAAAGATTTTAATTGATGAAAGCTGAGTTGAAAAGGAAAAAATAATCTTATCTAAAATTATCTAAAAATCCCACTGTGGCTCTCATCTGTACTGATCTTTGGACTGATTATGATTGTTATGGGGGTTCTGCTCAGCCCCTGTACAGATTGAGTCTTATTGATTCAGTGTGTCTTTCTGGAAATTCTGTAGCAAAAGAATATGGAACTTTCCACTATAACCTGCTTATGAACATTCCTGATGCTGTTAATTGGCCACTGTCAAAAGACAGATTGATTCAATCCAATAGTGCACTGCTTTAACTAACTGACTTGGAGTATGTGTGAATGCATTTATTTTCTGTTGCATTAATGCATTTGAAAGTATAATGTTTTGCTTTGATTTTTTTTTTTTTAGTGGACCAAGCTTTGTTAACAAAGGAAGTGGACAGACCAGAGCTGGATCCAAAGCCAAGATGCCTCTTCAGACTCTGCATATGACTTCGGAGAATCAGAAGAGGGTGAAAGAACTTCTTCGTGAGCTTCAAGGACAAGACCTCCCTGCTGGTTCAGAGTTGGTTTTTAAAGAAACAAAACAAAAAAATGCTGTTCTTCCATAGAACAGATCTCATTACATGTTTCAGATCTAGGCTATTGAACACAAAAAGTCTTTAACTTTGGTCGTGGGTAGTGGTATGATTTAATAATGAAAATGCATAGTAATTTTATCTATTAAGTTGAATTTTATACCTGCTGTCTTATGTGGCCTTGTAGTGTTTCTGGAGAAAGAAACTAGTTATTTACTTATGTAAGGATGACTCCATATATGGGCTCCGGTCACACGGCAAAGTTGCCGCGGGAGAGGCACAGATGGTGGGCGGATTATCCGGGCGCGATCACATCCCAACATCTGGGAAGTGGAGTGCACCCGTGGCTTACCGCCGACAATGTGCGTTAAAAAACTAGTACCTCCAAGGTACTAGTAAACGTTTGCCACGGGTGTGATTGCACCGGCGCGCAGCATTCCCCTCCGGTCCCTCGTTTACCCGCTGGCGCCGAGGGAAGGACCCGTGGTGTGCCGCCGGCGCATCTGATTGCATAATCGCGGATCAAACTGCGCTGGGGCAATTAGCCACGCCTCCCCCCCGCAATATCCGGCCCGTGTGGCCGGGGTCTTAGTGTGGCAAACATTGTTGCTGCAAATACTCCAGGGTTTCCCAGAACAAATGTGTAAGATATGCATTGCTTTATGTGCACAACCCTGGCCCGACCAGGCCTCCCAAGCAAATATAAATTGGCATTTTAAACTATGCTTGCTGCCTACATCGATGTGTGTGTTGTGCAAGTAAAATTGGTACTTAGTGTATTGTAGCATTTCCTTTGCTCCCTTTATGGCATCAAAAGGAAGCATGTGGATGAGGCAGTCACTCCTGTTAAAGGAAGCATATTCCTACCTTCTCTAGTTTCTCTTCATCCAAATGCCAGTGCAGATGTATCAAAAGGGGCATCTGGTTGAGTGGGAGCTCCATGTATTTGTCTGATCCTATCTAAGCTAGTAGCCAGTGCTGCACCTTCTGACAGTGCATTTCATTAAGTTAAATCTGCACAGCATAAAGAAATTGTTTTTTTTTTGTCTGCAAATGAACTTGATTGGCTGAACCCTGAATTATGGGAGAAGAAGAAAAAGTGATGTCTACACTATCTCATACAGCACTTTATCATGCCCACCCTACATTCATTTCCCTTCCAAATTAAGAAAATCTCAAATCTTTGGGCTTTTCTGTAAGATGGGTGGTCCAGCCTTGTGATCATTTTGGCTTTCCCCCCCGACTCATTAATTATGCAGAGTAAAATAAATAGCACAAATCCCAGACTTTAGCCATAGAACCATTAGTTTTAAATGACATTCTTGTTTTCTCTTTCAGAGTACCGGTATCAGAGGGAGATGATTGTGATGATCCAGATTACTTGAATGATGAGCAGTGTTGTCCAGAAAACCAGACTGTTTCTAAAACTACCACAAGTGCTTCTTTTCAACAACCTGTGAATTACATTTCAGATACTGAAGTGTCTTCTTTTGCTGTGAACAAACTTTCCAGGTGATGATTTTTCAATAAATACAATACAACACATTAGTCAGAAAGTGGGGTTAAGGTGAAAGCTCTCAGTGTTAGTAGAGCTTTGAAGTGGGGTAAGAGGATAGAAGGCTTCCTACTTTAATCCACTTGTCAGTCATTTCATATAGCCTCCATCTTTCCTTGCTTTTGCAAGCCTTTTACCCTTTCCAGGTATGTCAGTCCATTTCCTTTCTCCTCAGAACACTCATGAAATGTAAAACTCCATGTTCTGAAAGCAGCCCCCCCAAAAAACAGAACAGTTATGCAAATGGTATCATCTGTATATGGAAAGCAAGTTTGTACAAATAGTCCAAGTTGTATGTATTATTTGAACTGCAGAAACCACTTGGTGCGCTCTCTTATTTCTCGTCTCAGGTTAACTGCAGGCATCCTTTAAAATATAAGGTAGGTTCTTACTGTTTTGGAATGCATGTTTACCTTTTTTCTTCTTCTTTTAGGTATGGCTTTAATGGCGAGCGATGCCGAGCAGTGCTGCAGACCTATAACGGTAACATCGGGGCATCACTGGAGCACTTGCTGTTGCAGTGCTTCTTGGAAAGGTTTGGGCAGAGGATGCAGATCACCGAAAGTGCTGCACAGGCTAGTACTGAAAACTGTTTGGAACAAAGACAGGAAGAGGCTTTTGCCCTCTGTTCCATCTGCGGAGACAAATTTGTGGAAAGAATTCGAAACAGAGTTTGGACAGTTGCGTTAGACCTGGCGTACCTCACAGACATTCTCAGTGAGTCAAAGCAAAAGAATAGCAACGCCAACAATGGGCTAAAACCAGCTTCCTTGGGAGTTTGTAAACATTACCTCCGAGGAGACTGCAGGTTTGGATCAAAATGCAAATTCAAGCATGGAAGTCCTCATCAGCAACAAGGGCTTCTGAGCCTTAAAGAAGATGCTCATCTCAGACTGAACACTCCTGTGTATGAACTTGAAATAAGATTTCCTGAGGGTAACAAATATCCCTACCAGCCACCCCTTGTAGCATTCTATTCTACTAATGAGAACTTGCCTCTGGCTTGTCGGCTGCACATTGCTGAATTCCTGTATGAAAAGGCCTTGATGGCTTCTGAGTCTAATGAACCTGTTGTTTATGCTTTAATAACATGCTTAGAGGATGAAGCTGAAGTAACAAAATTGCTTGCTAAGACTTCCCACAGATACAGTGTCCCTCCTCTGCCTCTGTTGATGACATCCTCAGCAAGAGCACCAGCAGATGGTAATAAGCGAGCACTTCCAAGTAGCTCATGTGTTGCATATCAGAATTCTGAAGGTAGGTAGAATGCTGTAAAATCCCTTCTGAAAGAGATGTCCATGTATGAGTGCCTGGGATCTGTTCCCAAATTCAGGGCCCTGCTTGTGCTCCAGTGCATACATGGAGTGTTTGTGTGAGCAGGCAGTCCCCTTACAATGCAGCTTAGGGAGGAATGTAGGGAGGAAATAAGGAGATAGCTGAATACTGTTTTATGCAGTAGTGTTGACTTGGCATTTACACACCTGTTGTTGGATCCATGGAAGTTACTGTCAAGATGCAAGGCTATGTAGTTTATAGTTCTGCCGAACTAAGATTTCTCACTGAATACAGTCATGGTTGATTGCGCTTACATATATTATAGCCACAGACACAGCAAGTTATAGATTCCAATATTACGTAAAAGGATACCTTTTAGATACAAAATGCCATGATCCTCTTCTTAATTCAGTTCAGACTTGTCCTCAAGTAGATATTAATCACTGATCATATAGAATCTTACAGGTTGCTTTAAAGAGGGTGAATTGCAAAACTTTCTGCCACACAGTTCCGTCAAAGATGAAAAAAGTCAGTCTGATCGAGGATATTCAGGAGAGCATACCAACTTTTCTGCTGGCACAAGAGGGAGGAGGGCATAACAGAAGGCTTGTTTTGCTTTGAGTGTGAGTGAATGCAAATGTAAGTGGGTGAATATGGGAGCAATCAGAATAAAGGTTGGAAGGGAAGGGCCAGAAATAGGCTTACCAAGTGGCGGCGAGGGATCTGCATGTCTTTACAGGATCCCTGCCACGGGGACGGCGATACGCGTTGCACCCGCTGTCGCCAGGATGTGACGCTATGCATCGCTCTGGCAACGGGACTCCAAACAGCCCCGTTGCCAGAGCGACGCGTAGCGTCACATCCTGGCGACGGCGGTGCAACGCGTATCACTGTCCCCGCGGCAGGGATCCTGTAAAGACATGCGGATCCCCCGCCGCCACTTGGTAAGCCTGGCCAGAAAAGAGGTGAAGAATACTTGCAAAATAATGAATTGTATTATAAGGTACAAGCCATGGCTGTTAATAAAGCTTAAAGTAACTTTTCCTGTTGAGACAGCTTTCATGTGAGCAACCTTCTGCACATGAATATGGAGTCATCCCCTCCATTCAAATGAATGGAAAGGCTTGTATCTGCATCCCTCCCCCGCCATTTATGGAAAAAGTACTAAATCAGGGTGCTTCATTCTTACTCACTTGGGTGCATACGGTCACATCTTCCAGTTTATGGAAAGTTGAGATAAACAGAATTTTCCAAGGTGGTGGAATTTGCAGCTGAAATGAGGTTCTTTAGGATGACTAGCAGAATTTCACCTTTCTAGACCTATTGAAGGCAATGGGCTTAGGAGGGTGTAACTCGGCTTGGTTTGTACTGTAAATCCATTGCTTTGTCCTTTGGCCACAAAGGCTCTTTATTCTGTTCCTAATTCTAGTTGTCATCTATTTTCAGATAAACTTTTGTCATGGAGACAACAAAAGAAAATTGTGCGATAACTGAAATGGCTTGTGTATTGTTCAGTTGATCATTTAAATAGTAATGTCAAATTGGTACATGATAAAAAGGAGGAAAAAACAGGTATAATCAGGGTACTAAAATCATCATGGCTTATAGCTGCTGCCACAGAGGACCTCTCGTTTCTGTGGAGGAATACAGAACCAAAACCCTTACTAAACATTTGCTTGTGATGATGAAAGCTTGACTCCCACCCACCCCCAACCATAATACTGATAAATCTGAGTTTTGTACTAGTATGGTAGCTTTCTCTATCATTTCTACATTTTGGAAGCCTTTAACTGATAATAAAGACCGTTTGGATTGATTAATTAAATAATTAATAAGATATTTACACCTGGCCTTTCTCCCCAATGGGGCACCAAAGCAGCTTATTCCCCCTTCCTCCATTTTTGCAATGCAGAAAAGTTAGGAGCAACTTCTTCCTAACATGGCATTTAACTTTGCTTAATCACCTTGATACTGTAAACAATGTGAACCATAGGACTTGCCTAACTTTGGACTGGACCCATCCTTGGTAGCCATGTGGTGTTATATGCCAGTTTGGTGTAGTAGTTTGAGTGTTGGACTAGGATTTGGGAGACCCAGGTTCGAGTCTCTACATTGCCATGGAAGTTTCTGGGTGACCTTTTGGCCTGTAATATACTCTCAGCTTAACCTACCTCTAGGGTTGCCAGCCTCCAGGTGGTGGCTGGAGATCTCCCTCTATTACAACTGATCTCCAGGTGATAGAAATCAGTTCACCTGGAGAAAATGGCCGCTTTGGAAGGTGGACTCTATGGAATTATACCCCATTGAAGCCCCTCCCCAAGCCTCTCCCTACTCAGGCTCCACCACCAAAATCTCCAGGTGTTTCCCAACCCAGAGTTGGCAACCCTATCTACCTCACAAGTTTGTTGTGAAGATAAAATGGAGGAAAAGAGAACAATATAAGCTGCTCTGGGTTCCTTTTGGGGGGGGGGAAGTTGGAGTATAAATGAAGTCAGTCAAATAAAATGTTTACTCACAATATTGTGTCCAAGTGAAGTAAATTTCAAAACAATTGGTGCAATGCAAAAAGAGGAAACAAAAGAGTTGCCTTGTTCTGCGGTGAACTTTGACAAGAAAGAGAACAACGCTAGGACATTTGGCATATGTAGCTGAAGAATGAATTTCTTTTTTCTGTTTTAAGCTGCAAAAGAATTAGTGTTGGAAGAAGAAGAAGAAGAAAGCGAGGAACTACAGACTGTTCATGTAGAGAGGGAGAGTTATGTGAACTTCAAAAAGGACCTGAGAAAGTACAGTACTCAAGCAAAATCCACTGACAAAGAGAATGCTAAAATTTGCAAACAATTCAGCTTAAAGAAGGTATATCTTTTAGTAGTTAAAATAGAAGATGAAAGGAAAATAAATACTATTCAAGAAGTTATTTTCAAATAAGGTTATCTGTCAAAAACAATAAGTTGTTCTTATGTGTAATAGTTGAACAAATGTCTGCTAGGAGAAATGGAGAGCTAAAACTGAGGTTCTACTAATAAAGGTGAACCTCTGATAGCTAACATTTTGCCTTTTATAAATCCTCAGTTTATTGAAGAGCTACTTCCCATATTTAAATTTAAGGCATTCAAGTCCTCTGTAAAATTAATCTGGAATCAATAGCACATACATCTATTTTCCAGTTTCCTAGAAAGTAATCTTTAAGCCATCCAGAGTGTGGGTCTTTGAGCAAGCAGACATATGTATATAACCCTTCTTGTTAATCTGCAGATAATATTTTTAAAAGGCTTGAATAGCATCACAAGTCACTGATCTTTTCTTCATAAGGTAGAGTCCCATGTTTTTGAACTCCTGTATTTTACAACTGGCATGGTCAGATGTTGACAGCCTATCTAAAGGTCTTCAGAGAAGGTAACTGAGGCTCAGAGCTCTTGTGGCGCTCTGCGGCTGGACTGTAACCATGCAGTCTCTCTTACTTGTGAGCTCCTTGAGAAATTATGCTTAAAAAGTGCTTCATAAGCTATCTTTTTGCTCTTTAGTTGTTGTTTTCAAGCTGCAGCTGACTTATGGCAACCCTGTAGGGTTTTCAAGGCAAGGGGTGGTTTAGAATCATAAGAGTTGGAAGGGGTCATACAGACCCTCTGTCCAACCCCTTGCTCAATGCAGCCTAGATCAGGCTAGAGCATCCCTGACATCAGTCACTGCTTGAAGACTGCCAGTGAGGGGGAGATAACCATCTCCCTAGGCCGCTGATTCCACTGCTGAATTAGTGTGAAAAACATCTTAATATCTAGCCAGTACCTTTCCACCCATAGTTTATACTCATTATTGCCATTGCCTGCCGCCTGTATGGCGACCTTGGTGTTCCTTGGTGGTCTCCCATCCAAATGCTAACCTGGGCTGACTTCTGCTTAGCTTCTGCTTAGCTTCTGAGGTCTGACAAGATCGGGGTAGCCTGGGCTATCCGGGTCAGGGCTTGCTACTTGTAGGGCTGTAAATTTTTGTTTACAGTAAAAAAAAAATCATTGATAGTGGGTTGTATCCTACCAGCTCAGCTAAACTTGGCCTCTTGTGTCAGCATGAGGGACACCTGTCAGCAGAGGAGCCTCTGGCATTCGCAGGGCACAACCAAGCCGACAGAAAGTGCTGCCCATAGCTTAGCAGAGGGGTAGGATACAACCCAATGAATTAGGAGCTGTGAATGGCTGCTCTTGACCTTTTGTTTATATTTATCAGTCTTCTAGGCACTACCAGGCCATGTTGCAAGAAAGGCAGAAACTTCCTGCATGGGAGGAGAGGACAACCATTCTTCCCCTGCTGAACAAAAATCAAGTCTTGGTTGTTAGCGGTATGACTGGGTAAGAGTATGAGCCGTATTCTAAGAACTGGAGAACTCAAACACCAACAGTGTGAAAAGGAACCTCATTCTACAGCTTGCTCCTCACAGGCAAGAAAAGTGGGAGGATCTTGTTCATGCTGACAGGAGAGGTTGGACAATCTTTTTCTTTTATCTTGTCCCCGATTCTCTCTTGTCAGCAAATCTACTCTAGCTGTTGGGAAGGGGAAGAGGTAGATTCACCTGGATAGTACGGATAACTGGAGGTACAGAACAGCCCAGCCAGCACAGCGTTCTTTGTTTCCTATGTGACTTCAGGCCCCTCCCACTTCAGAGTTCTGAGCTGGGCTGCTTTTGACAAGATGACCCTAGTTTTGTATGATGCCTGCTAGATGACATGTGTGCTGTGGACGTGATATCTGATCAACTGTCTGCTGCCAAAAAGATTTCTGAGTAATACTCTATAGTCAAGTGTCAAATTGCCCACTGACCAGGCAAAAAAATGTCCTTTCACTTTAATAGAGCTTTAATATGTAGAAATGGGCAGTTGAAGGTTTTCATGGCATCAAGGTAAGTGACATCACCTGATGACTGCTGCAGATCAAACTGATTGTAAAGGGATAAAGAGAGCAGTGGTATGGTATGGTATGGTGCACTGAGGGGAACTTGTCACCTTTCTGGTATGGTGACCCACTTAAAAAAGCAGAGTATTTGCAAATCAATAAACTTCCCCAGGTTTGGGGAAGCAGGCTGATTTATAGCCATCTTTAGTTATGTTGCTTAGCAGAAAATATAGTTTGCTTTTTTAAATGTAGGTGTGGAATTTTTAAAATGTTTTACATTTTTTTTCATGTAGATGTGGAAAGACCACTCAGGTTCCTCAGTTTATCCTGGATTCCTCATTAGAAGGACCTCCCAGTAAGGTAGCCAACATCATCTGCACCCAGCCTCGGAGGATCTCTGCCATTTCTGTGGCTGAACGAGTAGCCAAGGAGCGAGGAAGAGTTGGAGTCACAGTTGGGTACCAGATCCGGCTAGAAAGCATCAAGGTTTGTTTTTATTTAATGATATGTTTATATCTCAGTGGCATCATGCATGCCAGCTAACATTACTATGCATCATGGGTGTTACCCAATATTGTTATTGACTAGCTCTCCAGCTGGCAAAGTATGATATTTCCTGCTGGATCTTTCAGATATTAGCTGTAATTTTTTTTCCAGACTCTTACAGCAATTTATTTCCAAATAGGTCTGTGTCTCAACTTTTAACTGTGCCTTTCACTGTTCTTGGTATAACTTTTTGTTGCTACCAGTTGCTGGAAAGGGAAAAGGAGCAAGTTGCAAAGCACGGTCGAAGTTCTCAGCTTCTCTACTGACAAAACTATGGCCATTGGTTTTCATGTTTATTTCTGCATCCATAACATCTAGAAAAATGCTTTTTTAAAAAATGAAAGCTGAACTTCTTGGAGAGCCAGGCCAGATATCTAATTCCGTGAACATGTAGTGTGTGTAAACAAACAACCAAAATCCCAATTTGTGTGAATGAATCTGATGCCCATAGGGCAATAATGTAATTCAAACTATAGTGGAAACAAATATATTGTCTTCTTCTTTATTTCTTCAAGTCTCCAGCTACCCGATTGTTGTACTGTACTGCTGGAGTGCTTCTGAGAAGACTGGAAGGGGACCTGACTTTACAAGGAATCACTCATGTTATTGTCGATGAGGTACATGAGAGGACAGAAGAAAGGTAACTGTTCCTATAGTCCCAAACAGCGTTCCATGGAAAGGTATTAATTTTGCTTAGAGTTGCACAGTGAGCCCTTTATTTTTGTTGCCATGATATGCAAAACTAATTCATATGACAGTAATGAAAGGGTGGAACAATAACCTGATGGAATTGCTAGAGATTCCTTTGGAAAATCTTGGGCGCTGAGAGAGAGTGCCAAGAATTCTATGCCTCTCTGTCCTTCCTGCTGTGACAAGTTCACCTCAGTGCAGCAGGCAGAGCAGGCGATTGAAGGGAACTGGCCTGACAGCTGGACAGGAGGAGGTGCCTTGAACATTTTGAAGGGACAGCATTGTCCCTGGTAACCCCATTGCTGACTGGTTTCATGATCTAGTGAGCATTCCTAGCCTAATAATGAAAAAGGCAAGGGATTTCTTTGGAGCATGTGTGACCATTGCTTGCACATTACCCGCTTTCAGAACAATCCTGCATGCTGCAAAATTTGTTTTGCTACTTTGAGGATTAGAGTCTTGATAGCTGTCTTATTATATGTCACATTATTCAAATGAAGGGGTTCTTTATGTTCCAGATTCTAATATCTTTATTGATCTAGGCAATACAGGCTCCCATATATGAGATTTCTGAAAGCTGTAGTTATAACTGTGTTAAGTAACAGGTAACAAGGAAACAATCTAAAAGTGTGGTTTCCCCCTCCCCCCCATGGCCTCAGATTCTGTATGGTTCCTTCCTTGACATTATCAGTGGTGATGATGTGGAGCAGAAATAAAGAGGGTGTGGGGAAGGGGAGAAAAATTACAAGTCAGCAAACTCTGAGCTGTTCTGCCTGGTTTTTTTTTTTAGTGACTTCTTGTTGCTGGTTTTGAAAGATATAGTGGTTCAGAGGCCAGATCTCTGTATCATCCTAATGAGCGCAACTCTGAATGCAGAACTCTTCTCTCAGTACTTTAACTCCTGTCCAGTTGTTAACATACCAGGTAAAAAATCAGTCTTTTTATTTCACTAGCCATCACTTGGCAGATTGTATTTTCTGCCAAGTTGTTCACCTTCGCTGTAATAACTCTTATTAAAAGAATATGTGATAACATTATCCTTGCAATGCAATGTTTGCTGGTAGGAGTTCCTAAACATATCTGAGTTGAGGAAACACAAAGGCAGTTTTATCAATATTTGTACTTTCTGAGAGCCCTTGTGGATTTAGGCCAAGTCCATCTAGTCCAGCATCATTTTTTCCAGCACTAGCCAGCCAGATGCCCTTGGAAGCTCCATAACAGGACCTAGAGGAGGCAAATTTCCTTTGTCATTTCTTCCCATCCATCTGCTTTCAAATGAATTTGGTAGTGCTGCATTGGTTTTTGTTTATTTGTGTGTTTGTGTGTGGGGTTTGTTTTTTTTGCAAAAGAGCTGGTGAGATTTTGCCTCCTGATCTATGCAGTGACCAAAGTGCCATTTGCCAGGTCCGTTTTTAGGTGCCAGCAGCTACTGTGTGCCAAGATTTTCTGCACCCTACCTTTAGCTTACATGATTAATGACTGATGATAATCATATTTCTGTGAATTTGTCTGATCCCTTTTACAAGTTTTCTCAGGGCTCAAACACATCAGATTAAGATCATGCATTTTAGTCCATCTACAAAGGGCAAATTACAGGCTTGTGTAGCCTCAGTTTGCCTCAGGGCTATGTGGAAGAGAGTCAGGAGTTTAACCCTTCAACCTCCACTTGGTTTTCTACTAGAAATCAGATCTCTTGCTCTGTTACTAGCATTTTAAAGGAAAAGAGGCAAATGGAGGCCGCTCAAGCCTCAACTTGCATTGATCCCTTTTGAATGTTTGTCAGAATGCATCGCTAACCTTTGTCTCCTGGTTAACAGAGACGGAAATAGTATATAGATAGAAATATCAATAATTTTTATACTGAAATAAAGACGCCATCCTCTCACTTCACTTTTGTTCACCCTTTCCTTTCTCTTTTAGGCAGGACATTCCCTGTTGATCAGTTTTTTTTGGAAGATGCAATTGCAGTGACTCGGTAAGAGATCCCAGAAGTAACTATGTCACAGTTTTGAATGTTTATCTATCATCTCTTTGAATTCCTGTTTGTTTTAGGTCTTGAACGGTTATAGAATAATGCCCAAAATGGTAGCCTTGACCAATGTTAAGATGAGATAATAAAACTATATGCGCTATTATACCATTCTCAGTAGGGCTTACAGTTAGGATTGCACCTGGAATTAATTTTGTAAACAGTGGTTTTATACAAATTTCACACAGTTACTTTTATGTGCTATGCAAAGGGGCAAATCCTGTCTATCTTCGTTCTCCAGAATTATGCCCCGGGTATCAATGGACCCCCACCCCCAAAATCAGCATAGGAGTGAAGTGGGGATCCACTTGTCAGTGAAAATCATACACATTCCTCTTCCACATGCAGAAACCTTTTATGATTGGAGAAGTATCTAAGGTATAAGTTATGTTTGATGGAACGTAGTGCCATGGGTTTTGGGGGGAATTTGTGTGTGTAAAACATGCACACTGTATTAAATATTTTTTTTGGTTTGTGACATTGAGTGCTAAGGGGTGCAGAGAGCAAGTAACTGTAGAGCTGAGAGAACAGCCATCCCTGGATCCGGCCGAATTGGCTAACTATCGGCCGGTTTCCAATTTGCCCTATCTGGGCAAATTAATCGAGAGGGTGGTGGCGATACAGTTGCAGAGCTTTCTGGATGACGCTTCAGTATTAGATCCCTTCCAGTCCAGCTTTCGCCCGGGATGCGGGATGGAGACAGTGCTGGTCACCCTTACTGACGACCTCCGGAGGCATCTGGATCGGGGCGGTTCGGCAGTGCTGTTGTTAGACCTGTCGGCCGCGTTTGACATGGTCGACCATCAGCTACTAGCCCACCGCCTCACTGACGTGGGGATACAGGGGCTTGCCTTGCAGTGGCTTGTTTCCTTTCTCCAAGGTGGGGGACAAAGGGTGGCAATAGGGGAACAGCAGTCCCGGGGGCACCTGCTTGAGTGTGGAGTGCCTCGGGGCGGTGCTTTCCCCGATGCTCTTTAACATCTACATGCACCCCCTTGCCCAGATTGCCCAGAGGTTTGGGCTGGGATGTCACCAGTATGCTGATGACACCCAGCTCTATCTGATGTTAGGTGGCCAGTTGGGCTCCAGACCGGAAGATTTGGACCGGGCATTGCACGCCGTGGCTGGTTGGCTCAGACAGAGCCGGCTGAAGCTAAACTAGGCGAAGACCGAGGTCCTGTGCCTGACTCGGGGCAGTTCAGGATTGGGGCTCCTGCTCCTGGCCTTTGATGGGGCACCACTGGAGTGGTGCTGTGTCAGTGGTTGGGAGTTTGGGAGTGCTCCTGGAACCCTCCTTGGCAGTGGAGGCCCAGGTAGCAGCCACTGCTAAGTCAGCCTTTTACCATCTGCGGCTGGTTTGTCAGTTGGCTCCCTTCCTCGATCGCGACGACCTGGCTACAGTGATCCATGCGATGGTCACCTTGAGGTTAGACTATTGTAACGCGCTCTACATGGGGCTGCCCTTGTCGCAAATCCAGAGGCTGCAGCTAGTGCAGAATCCCGCGGCCAGGCTATTGATGTGTCTCCCTAAACGGTGCTGAAGGCACTGCCCTGGCTGCCATTAGCATACTGAATCCGCTTCAAGGTGCTGGTACTTACCTTTAAAGCCCTGTATGGCCAGGGTCCAACATACCTGAGGGGCTGCCTTTCCTTGTACATACCCCAGAGAGCACTACGGTCGGGGGCGCAACACTGATTTTTATCCCAGGCCCCAGAGAGGCCAGGCTCACGGCTACCAGAGCCATGGCCTTTTCAGTGGCGGCTCCTTATTGGTGGAATGAGCTCCCGGAGGAGATCAAGGCCCTGCGGGATCTTGCGCAATTCCGCAGGGCCTGCAAGACGGAGCTCTTCCACCAGGTCTTCAACTAGGAGCCACCTACCACTACCATCAATGGCCACGATTAATATCTGTGGCGTAGGCCAGCCGCAGTTGAGATAGAGCCACACCACCTCAAAGAACTGGAGACTGTTGAGTGGAGGGCTTTGAGCCCGGTATTATATGTCACGCCATCTTGCCTTAATAACTACTGTATGCACTTTGATTGAAATTTGTTGATGGTTTAAATGGTTTTAAATGTTTTATATGAATCTTGGTACATTGGCCAAGTAATGTGAGCCGCCCTGAGCCTGCTTGCGGGGAGGGCGGGCTATAAATGTAATCAGTCAATCATTCTATGAAATAAACAGAGGCTTGTCTTTGTGGCCAGACAAAGTCACATAGGCAAGAAGTGAATGTGGCAGAGAGACAAGCAGCTATGCCAAGGTGTTGAAAGGTCACACACAGACCCCTTGGAAGTTCTGCCCAGCTCTTTATTTTGAGCCATCTTTATGGATATATTCGCAGACACTTTCCAGGCTGCTTTCACATTTTCATGAGTGTTAAAAATTTGGGGTTGAATGGAGAAGTTCTGCTGTGCTAAAGGTGGAAACTTCTTACCCTGCAAAAAGGCTTGCTCTGGCAAAAGAGCCGTGTACTGCTGGTAGAAAGTTCCTTGTGCAGAAGGTTGAACTTTGGATCCAACCTTTGATTTTTAAAGAATCACAAGAGAGCCAGTTTGGTGTAGTGGTTAAGAGCAGCGGATTCTAATCTGGGAGAACCGGGTTTGATTCCCCACTCCTCCACATGCAGCCATCTGGGTGACCTTGGGTCAGTCACAGTTCTCTCAGAGCTGTTCTCTCCAGAGCAGTTCTCTCAGAGCTCTCTCGGCCCCACCTACCTCACAGGGTGTCTGCTGTGGGGAGAAGAAGGGGCTGTAAGCCACTCTGAGACTCCGAGTGAAGGACAGGGTATAAATCCAATTTCTACTTCAAAACAGATGTCTATGATTCTTCATCGTATAGCAAACTCAGTGTGTGTGTTGTTAAATACCAGTACACTTGGGTTCTACTAGATAATATAGTTTATAACGAACTTTCACTATGTTTCTTCTATGGAGCCAAGGGTAGATTGGTCATTAAGGCTGCTGGGGGAAAGTCCCAGTGGGCCGCTGGGGCCATCCTGAACCTGGGGCAGCCCCACATAAGATGGGCAGGAACCAGCACCATCATGAGCTGGCATCCTTTTCCTCACCTGAGATGGGGAACTCGTGGGCACTCATTGAAATTGCTGAGCAGTTGGGCTAGAACAGATAAAAGGAAGTACTTCTTTTTTTTTTTTATTAATATTTTTATTCTTTTACATAGTAATACCAAGCACAAATATACATAACACAAGCTGTAAGGACAACGGGGGGTGTACAATCGAGGGTTACTCCAGTTAAGAGCAGTTTCTCTTGTGATTACCCTGACCTTTAACAACAGTGGTCAGAGATTAGGGGCCATACCATACCTATCAGCTTTCTCATCTAAATCAAGAGTTCATGTGATAGGGGAAGTTAGCTGTTGTGATTGAAGAGGCGAGACTTATTGTTAGTCATGTGTCCATACCGACCCTTCATGACCAGGGCTGTAGATAAGGCGCCGAGCCTAAAGTGACCTCTTACTCATTTGGTGAATGGCACCTAAGCAGACCATGAAAACAGGAAATATTTTATAGGAACAGCCACCTGTGATAATTTTGATTTGTGGGAAGAATTTCATGTCTCTCCATGTATCTTATCACTGGCGACCAAAACTTACTAAATTTCGTATGTGTACCCGGGTGAGTTGGTTGATTTTCTCGGCTTAGGTCTAAGATTTTGGCCATGACAAACTGCTCCCAAAGCTTATCGTGCCACAGGGTCAGCGCGGGTGGGTTGGGAGATTTCCAAACTGCCGCTATTGTTAGTTTGGCCGTTGCAAGTAATAGCGACGTGAGATTCCTCCTATCTTCTCTCGTAGACTCATCCCACTTGTTCAGTAACATTACCTCAGGTGTGAAGGAGATACTTTGGTTTGTTATTTCATTGATGCGCAGAGTTATCTGCTTCCAGAAGTGGCTAATTACCGGGCAACCCCACCAGCAGTGTATATAGGAGCCCATCTGCCCGCATTTCTTCCAACAGGTGGAATCGAGGTTGTTATTAATTCTGTTTAATTGCGTTGGGTACATGTACCACCTTGTGAGTAATTTAAAATTCTGTAGGCGTAAGTTAAATATTGTGGAGTTGTTCATCGGTGAGGCCCAGATCGAAACCCAGTCGTTGTCATCCCAATGTTGGTTGAGATCCTCTTCCCAGCGGAGCTGATAGTTGAGTTTCGGTCTGTTTTCTGATGAGAGTAATGCCTTATATATGAGAGACATTGTCCCTTTAGACCGGGATGGGTATCTCCTTATAATCTTTTCCATCGTTGTCAAGTCTCTTCGAAAGGTGCCTAATCTCGCCAAGGTTTCAATTAAATTTTTCAACTGCAGATATTGGTGCCAGTGTGCCGGCGTGTTCATGCGCTGGTCAAAGTACAGTTTATCCATAATGGTCCCTTGATGAACTAGATCGCACAGCCTGCTTAGATTGGCCCCTGTCCATTCCGCAAATGCATTGGGGGCTATACCAGGGGGGAACCAACTCTGATGCAGGTATGTTGATAATTGAGAGATACCGGTCGGAAGCAAGTTCTTTGTCTTCACCTAAAGAGTGATTAACTCATGGAATTCACTGCCACAGGAGGTGGCGGCGGCGACTACAAGCATGGACAGCTTCAAGAGGGAATTAGATAAGCATATGGAGCAGAGGCTATAAGCCACAAGGTAGAGATAGGGACTCTCAGTCTGGGGCAAGTGATGCACTGTGTACTTAGTGCTTTGGGGGGGGCAACAGTGGGAGGTCTCCTAGTGTCCTGGCCCCACTGCTGGACCTCCTGATGGCACCTGGTATGTTTGGCCACTGTGTTGACAGAGTGTTGGACTGGATGGGCCATTGGCCTGATCCAACAATGGCTTCTCTTATGTTCTCTTGTGTTCTTATGCTGCCGCGAGCCCATAGCCCCCACATCCTGGGAGTCAGCAACTCCCACCCTGCACTAGGTTTGTCGGTGCAAACAGGGTGACAGCCACAGCAGGCTGCTTTCCCTCCTTCTCTCCATTGGGGGGCAGGGGCCTTTTCCCAGGACGTTTTGGTCTCCCTGTCAGCCCCCATATAGAACTCAAAGCAGTCTACCCAGGGTTCTGTGCCTGAGCATTTTGCAGAAAGAGAGGCTGGTTAACTTTATCTTGTCTTTTTTTTCTATTTTGGATAACTTAAGATTTTTTTCTAGGGGGGAGGGAAGCCATGCAGGGCATTAGATCTTGCCTCTGACTACTGGAAGTTCATCCCAGCCACCATTCTTGGTTCTGAGAGTTCAGCAGTCCTTGCCCCACATGCTTACATTCAACCTACGCTTTGCTCAAGTATGTGCTTATGTGTGCATGTAGTGCATGCATGATGGGATAGAGCAGTTAATTATTTCCAAACGAAATTATTACAAACAGCTTTTATCAATGCATTAATTTCCTGCTTTTCTTCAGGTATGTCTTGGAGCATGGCAGTCCATACATGCGTAATGCAAAAAAAACTCCTGGCAAGAATCCCAAAGAGAGGCACTTGAGGACTGCCACAGAAGAGGTAGAGGAAGACCTGAGGCGTGCTGGCCTTCTGCAGGCTACAGACTCCTGCAAGGTCAAGGATTCCGTCCCGGATCAGCAATTAACGGTTCATCAGCTAATGATACGCTACAAAGGTAATCTCTCCAATGTGCGTTGTCATTTTTTAAAAAGCTTTTTAAACTAAAAATATTGTGTGTATAGAGAAAACAGCGTTCTTAAATTGTGTTTGCATGACAGAAGTTTGTGCATACGGAGGCGTACAAAGGCCATGATCTACAGCAGTGGCCACCTCGTAGTTTTCTTTATGACATGTACATACTATACACAGATCTCGGGCATACCATAGAATCACAGAGTTGGAAGAAGCCATACAGGGTGTCTAGTCCAACCCTTGCCCAATGCAGGATCAGCCTAGAGCATCCCTGTCCAGTGTTTGTCCAGCCGCTGCTTAAAGACTGCCAGGAAGGGGGAGCTCACCACCTCCTTAGGCAGCTGATTCCACTGTTGCACAATTCTTACTGTAAAAAAGTTTTTCCTAATATCCTTCCCACCCTTAATCTAAACCCATTATTGTGAGTCCTATTCTCTGCTGCCATTCTCTAAGTGACAGCCCTTCAAATATTTCAAGAGAGCAGTCATGTCCCCCCTCAACCTCCTCTTCTCCAGACTGAACATTCCCAAGTCTCTCAGCCTTTCCTCATAGGGCTTGGTCTCTAGGCCCCCGATCATCCTCGTCACTCTCCTCTGCACCCACTCCATTCTGTCTACATGCTTTTTGAAGTGAGGCCTCCAGAACTGCACACGATACTCCAGGTGTGGCCTGACCAATGCAGTGTACAGTGGGACTATCAGATCTTGTGATTTGGATGTTATGCCTCTGTTGATACAGCCCAGGATTGCATTAGCCTTTTTTGTCACCGCATCACACTGGCTGCTCATATTTAACTTATGGTCCACCTGTACCCCAAGATCTTGTTCATTCAATGAGACCTTTATGCCTGATGGCCATTGCTCAACTCCTTGAAGTTAGGGTTGTCTCCTCTTTGCTGTGTACCACTCTTTTAAGAGCCTGGGGGGAAATCTGGTATTTTATCCTCAGGGCAGGGTGAGTAGTGTAAAACAACTGTCTTTCACTTGCTATCAGAAGTCATTGCAAATGGGAAGAAAATGCTTCCTAAAATCCTGAATCCCCCCCCCCAAGTTCTTAATGCTCCCCCAGGATTTGTAATTGCCCTGGAATGGGGAGCATATAGCACATATTAAGAATCACTGTACTAGAGCCATTTATTGTTATGGGGTTAGGTACCACAGATTCAGTCCACTAGCAAAGTCATTACCTTTCCCTGATGCAAGAGGCTCTGCCACTGGAAGAAAGCATCTCTACTAGCAGAACAGATCTGGTGGATCCACTGGACTGCTGTGTTTTTGCCATCTTCAGATAACTGGAATTTAGATTTTTAATCATAATTATTGTTGTTGGGTTTTATTGTGCACTATAGAAACATGCTGTTGTCAGATTGCAGTAGAATGGCTTAAATAGAGGCATGTGTTTAGTCTTCCCACTCTGTATTCTAAAAGGGGGATGTACTCTTAAGTTTATGCGGGAATGTCTCATTTATTTTGTGTGCTAACCATTTCCCTTTTATAGGAGAGAATACAAAGCTGTTATGCACAATGGGATTCAAAGTGTACAACTGTAAAGGCTGAATTGTGACTAAAATGTTGTTATTGGGAGAGTAACTGTGACTTTCCTCCTCTTCTCCCCTCCCGCCTTCTCAGAGATGAGAGTAGTATAATGCAGTCCACATAGATCTGCCCTTGTAGTCAACTTGGTGACCCCAGATGGTACAAAATGCCAGAGTTCAGCTACTGTTAGTAGCTAGGTGGAGCATGCATATTACACCCATTCTGCAGTCACTCTGTTGGTTGCCCATCAGTTACAGGGCTGAATTTAAGGGATTGTCCTTTACATTAAAAGCCCTTCATGGCCTTGGACCCTTATATCTGCAGGACCACCTTTTCCCCTATTCCTCGCCACAACAGCTTTGTTCATTGGTAAATGAATGATATCAACAACATACATGTACATTCTTTGTTGTGGCCTCCACCTTGTAGAATGGCTTGCCTGAAACTATCAGGAAGGCCCTGGCACTTTTGGCATTCCATAAACTACATAAAACAGAATTGTTCTGGAGGGCATTTTTACAAAAGGCAATAGGACCATATTATGATGCAGTGATTCAAGAAGATGGTTTAATAAGGGAACAGGATTGTGGGTTACACAATAGTATAGTGTGTTTGCCATATGTGCTACATTGCTTTCACTGCATTGTTATCTACCTGTGTAATTCCACCTTTTGGTATTGTTACTGCATTATATCTAACTAAGAATAAGGCTCGTTGTGGAAATAAATACAATGGGCCCTAGAGAGGCTCTGAGTGGGTGCCCTGGCCTTGGGCACACAGTGTCAATTTGTTGTGGTGACCTCAGCAGGGTATAATGGCACAGAGCTTACCGTTCTGCCATCTGAAGAGCGTAATTCTGAGTGATCTGCAGCACTCACCTGGAGATTGGCAACAATGATTCCCCAGGAGGAAATGGCTGTTTTGGAGGGTGGCATCTATGGCTTGTACCTGTCTGAGGTCCCACCCCTTCACAAACCCCACTCTCTCCTGACCTCTCAAATATCCAGGAATTTCCAAACCCAGAGGTGGCAACCCTATTTCCTTTCCAGCCAACCATCAACATACTATTATCTGCCCCTCTGACTTCACGTTTCCATCTCTTCCCCCCTCCCTGTAGCCTCTACCTAGGAAAACTACAGTCTTTCTCCACAGTGGGGACCCAAGCAGGAGGGAAGCAACCTCAGCAGGGTATAATGACACAGAGTCCACCCTGCAAAGCAGCCTTTTTCCCAGGGGAGCTGATCTCTGCCATCTGGAGAGCAGTTTTAATTCTGAGTGATCTCCAGCCCTCACCTGGAGATTGGCAGCAGTGGTTCCCCAGGAGAAAAAGTAGTCTATCTGCAGTAGAGACCAAAGCAGCTTACATCATTTTCCTCTCCTCTTTTTGATCTGCACAACAACCCTGTGAGGTAGGTTAGGCTGAAAGTCTGTGACAGGTCTGAAATCACCCACTCAGCTTCCACAGCAAGAACCTCTGTCTGGCAGACCATGCTCTGAAGTGCTAACTGCTACACCTAGGGTAGCCAACCTCCAGGTGGAGCCTGAAGATCACTGGGTATCACAACTGAACTCCAGACAACAGATCTCTCCGCCCATGGAGAAAATAATAGCTTTGAAGAGTGGGCTGTATGGCATTCTATTCAGCTGAGGCCTCTCCTCTCCCCAAACTCTGGCTTCCGTAGACTCCACCACAGAATATCCAGGAATTTCCCAACCTAGAGCTGGCAACCGTAGTCAGGACTGGCCCCAATGAGTTCCCCACAAAGGCCTGGAAAGCACCTCCTGCCTTTGCCTTTTTACTGACAGAACCAAGCATGGTTGCCTATCAACAGCAACTGAGAGAAAAGTTAGTCCCACAGGAGCCAAGCAGAAGTGTCTTCATCAGGAGAGACAGCTGTTTGGCAGTTTATTCTGTGAGAGAGGACTGTCCAGGCTGGCAGTGGGTGGGGAGAGGAGCAGACCCAGCACTCAACCAATGACATGTGAGTACTCTTGAGTGGTAGTTGATGGGCCAATGGCTGATGGAGCACACTGCACAGCCACTGGGAGAGCTGGAAATGGCCAATACATTAGGGAATTATATATATAGGATACTTAATACTTTGTTTTCAGACTTCTGTAATCTTGGTTCTATTACTTCACTTATCAGATGCCTTATTCTATGTTTATTGTACTGATTTACATTGCGTAATCCACTTTGTGGCTCACTGACAGAGCATCTGTTTGGCATGCAGGTTCAATTCCCCAGCATCTCCAGTTAAAAGGATTAGGTAGGAGGTGATGTGAAAGACCTCAGCCTGAGATACTGGAGAGCTGCCGCTGGTCTGAGTGGACAATACTGACTTTGATGGACCAAGGGTCTGACTCTGTATAAAGCCGCTTCATGTGTTCATGTGCGCCTCATTGAAAAAGGCAGACTGTAAATAACATAAATAAATGAAAGTAATAGATGAATTCTGTTGACAAAGATTCAGTATGGTTGGAAGTCTGTTGTTGGTGATTGTAGTTGGTCCTTCTTTCCTGAAAGAACAGCCTTTCCAGTTCTTTTCCCTCCTGCTTTCAAGCTTATTTTATCTTTCAGGTCTTAGCACCTCAGTGTTAAAAACAATGGCATCCATGGATTTGGACAAAGTGAATCTTGAATTAATTGAGGCCTTATTGGAGTGGATTGTCAGTGGCAAACATTCATACCCACCAGGTAGGCAAGGCAAATGTGGCCAGTTTTACTGGTTTATTCAACTGAGTCGATTGTGTCAGTATGGACATTTCAAACAAACTAACCTTTTGAACCCTACTCTGCTCCTTTTTTAAAAGAAACCAACTATAGATAGATAGATAGATAGATATAACTCCACTTAACATATCTTATCATACCTTTGCCTTCTGTTAGCTCAGTATCATCTCTCCTGAATACCAGCAACACTCCCAGTCTCAGGCAGGAAAAAAATCTTTCCTAGCACCTGACAGCTGAATCTTTTCAGTGCAGATGCCTGGTTAGAAACTGGGATCTTCTGGATGCAAAGCAGCATCACTGAACCATAGCAGCCAAAGACTGGCTTCCAAGTTGTATGCTTCGGATTGGTCTCTAGAAGGCTGAACATCTTTAGTTCCACCAAAACTGGGATCTCAATTTGGTATTATTATTTCAGCCTTGTGTCTATTTGCTTGTAAGCCTCTACCCACCTCTGAATTCCATAGGAATAGCACATGTGTAGCACATTTTGGTGTAGTGGTTAAGTGTGCGGATTCTAATCTGGGAGAACCGGGTTTGATTCCCCACTCCTCTACTTGCAGCTGCTGGATGACCTTGGGCAAGCCATAGTTCTGTCAGTGCTGTTCTTGAAAAAGCAGTCCTTGAAAGAGCTCTCTCAGCCCCACCTACCTCACAGGGTGTCTGTTGTGGGTAGGGGAAGGAAAAGGAGTTTGTAAACCGCTCTCAGACTCCAAGTGAAGGGCGGGGTATAAATCCAATTTCCTGCTCTCCTCCTCCTCCTCCTTCTACACCAAAGAGGAGAAGGGAGCCCGGAGGGAATCCTGGATATACAGTGGGTGCAGTTGTAAGATCCGTATATGCACATGTGCCCTTTGCAGAACAAAAATGTAGAACAGCTCTTGACTTCACCAAGGACTTTTCTATTAATCTTTTTGCATGCCCACTTCTAGGTGCAGTGCTGATATTTTTGCCAGGCTTGGAAGAAATTAAAACCCTTTATAAGCAACTGCAGTCTAATGCACTCTTCAATAACCGGCACAGCAAGCGGTAGGTCAAGAAATATGCCTCCTTTTAATGCAAAACCTTTTAAGAATCACAAGTAAATTCACCTTAGAATATAGCTTAGATGAACTGGAGGCACTTTATGACATTCTTCTTTGCAGCTTCCTTGTTTTTGTAAAGATGGAGTGTGTAGACATTCTGAGCCCAATGCATGGAGGTTGATACTCTGAGCTCACACAAGTAGAATCTGGAGGACAGTCCAGCTGGCTAAACTGAGATATGGATTGTGCTGCAGAAATACTGGGAGCTAAGCCTGTCTTAGAACCACTGATTTTTATGGCTCTAAACTGGCTTATCTCAGGGTACTTGGCTTGATTGCATTATATATCAGGTTACTATTAATCAGGGAAGCACTGAAATTTGTGAATGACTCAAGACGCTTCACATGCACACACCCTCTCTTTCTATAAATATAAGTTGTGTTGCTGAATTTATGAGGTCTACCAAAATGCACTTTACATTTAGAATACCAGCCATTCTGGGCATTTCATGTGGTGCTTTTATTATATTCTTTGTGAAGCAAACTGCATGGGTAAACAGCAGGCCAGAAAGGAAGGTATCTGTTTGAAGGTAAAGTTGGCTTACTGTTGTCTAAGTCAGAACACACAGTGGGCCACACTGTTGTAACATATTGGATATTGAAGGTGAAACATGTCATGTGCAGCCTGCTGGAGATGATTGACATAATGCACTGGCCTTTGTATATCTGCACCTCCCTGGCCTGCTGCCCACATTGAATGGGTATTGGATTTGCAAGGCTACCACAGAAGATTTCATCAAAGGTAA